GGGGCATGGCTGAGAGTGATGACTATTTTTTTGTGACATCACAAAGTTCCAGAAGTCCTGACAGCTGGTTTTAAGGCTCAGTTTCTGAATACAGGCTGTGTTGCATTTCTCCGTGGACTGAACGCTTTGATACTTTCACAGTATTAATATAGAACCTAGACCTGCTTTATAATCAAACACATGGTTATCAACCTTTATACTAAAAGGGACCTTTAAACAAATAACATGTAGGCTGCTGCGTTAATCTTTGAGCTTCAGAGATACTGTGAGATTGATATCAATCTTTATCTCACCCTTGGAAACAAGCAAAGAAAAGCGTATTTCTCCAAGCGTTATTTTAAGGCACTATTGCATAAATAAAGAATACCTGACCTGACGAGTGTAAGAAACCGTGCTGCAGCAGCTTCATCCCTCCCCTCTGCAGTGTGCTCAGAGCATCATTCCTCCTCCTCCTGTGTCCATGATTTTAATTAGCTCCTGGGGATATTTTTAGTGGCTCTCCTGATGATTTAATTAGGTTTACAAATTATAATTTTTTAACCGCCACGTCTACCGTGGACCGTGGCAGCACAATAAACACAATCAGACATTCCCCCCGCAGAACTGCATTAGGGGCTTGGCACTGCCAGAGAGCGGGGGCTGGAAAATGTCGAGCGAGCTGGCATCAAGGAGCTCCTGTTACCGGTAAAAGTGGGGGGAAAACTCCCAGCGCTCTGCCAGTCCAGAGCATACACACACACACACACACACACGCACACACGCACTCACGCACGCGCGCTCACATGCAAACTTCCAATTACGCTCCTATTCCCGTAGAGTTGGTTTTTAAACCTTCCTTGACACGAAGATGAAGCAGAGGGCTTGTAAACTGTTATGGCTGCCTCCTGCCGCGCTGCCATGGCAACAAAACAGCAGTCACTGGTGCATGTGAATGGGCAAAAATGTGGAGAAGGGACAGTGGAAAATATCCGATGTGGATCCTCCCTTATACCCGGATATATCAGGACCTAATACTTTCTGATTCTAATGGTCGGAGTCAAAGTTTGTCCCTGAATAATAAGACACAGTGGGGTAAAGGCGAGAGCAGCGAGAGCCTGGAAAAATGTTCTAATGCTCAGTTTTTCCCCCCCACCTCCTCCTCCTCTTCTTCTAGTGTTGGATTATGCTCTGACGCTGGAAAAGTCCTGCAGAATTAGGATGATTTCATTTCACAGACACGTCGTGTTGTAATAAATTCAGTCGTCTCTGTGTGCGTGACCTCTGGACGAGCTGCTGCGGTCGGCGTCTTTCCTCCAACGCTCGTCAACTCCGGTTTTCAGGTTTTAGTGAAGGTGATGCGCTTGTGACTAACACTAGGACGGTTGGCCAACAGACTATAGCGTGTGTGTGTGTGTGTGTGTGTGTGTGTGTGTGTGTGTGTGTGTGTGTCCATTTCAATCACCTATCACCTCGTGTCCCAAAGCAGATGACAACCCCAGGAATTCAATTTTTATCAGAGTGATTGTGGTTTCGTGTCCAAACGCTGTAAGACTGAGCTCGTTATAAAAAGCTGTCATCACTAATATGGTTCTTGATTATTGGCTTCATCATTAATATATTTCTGGTTCATTCTCTCCTCTTGATTATTGGCTATTGACAAAAGTCCGTGGATGATGCGTTCAGTTGTCAGCGAGTGTTTCTTCCTCATGGGATCTCTGAAGGAGTGAACCTGTGGACTCTCTGTATGTGGCAACAGTATTTGGACACCTGAGCATCACAGTTTCTGGTCCAGTTCATCCCACGTGTGTCTCACATGCCATTAATTGACAAGTTCATTGACAGAATTTTGTTAGAGTCATGTATCAATTCATTAGCTCTTTTCCTCTCTTTTATATCATTATAACATTAATATCTTTGGCTTTTGAGCAGCTGCTTGAATAAAAGAAGAGGTCTCTTTAACAACGTATCAATTCATCTTAAAAAAATAATCATCAGATTATAAACAGCTCACAACTTGCATTTTCTTTTCCACATATGCATAGTTTGATTTTTTAAATTTCTCTGCTTTCTGTGCCCACAGCTTCACTTCTGATTGGCCGTGTAAATCTTGAGTAATTGTGTCTTTTATGTCAAACAAAACATGTCATAACTTACTGAAGAGAAACCTAATGCTTTTCTGACTTGGTAAATTACATGTAAAGTCCCAGTCTATGGTGTTTAATGTGGAAAAAAATCAAGTAATGCTTTCTTTAGGCCAAAAATAAACAACAAATGTGTTTGAATGCATTTTTAACATTGCGAACTGGCTGTATAGCTTTAATAGGGTGTTAAATTGCTCTTAAAAAGGTTTGTTACACAAGTGCTGATTTTTTTTTTTTTTTTTACCAAAATCCCTCTGTAATTCTAAATACGTCAGTGTAGCTGTGATAAATATCTTTAAATCCTCACTTCTCACAGATTTTACCTCCTTGTTTCCAGGTTTTGTGAGCAATTGTTTATCTGTTAGTATGTTGGTAAAGGCTAAAATTTCTGCCTGTAATTAGGATGAAAATGATGACAAAAACTGTTGTCATAGTGATGGATATGGGCCCTATGAGAAGCAGATATGTGGTTATGTTTCATAGTCACAATGGCTGACATCAGTGTTACACAAATTTAGTTTTTAGGGGAAACAAAAAAAGAATGATAGACAGAGGAAACAGATTTACCTGCAACAAACTGTGCAAGGGCCATTTGAGATGAAACACATAAGGGCCAGTGGAGGTCTGCCTCTTTGTATATTTTCTTTGTGTCTTTAATTCTGAACACAAAGCATGCAGACTCCTTCACACTCTAGACTATGTGCATGTATGTCGTCCTCCAGCTCTTGTGTGCATCTATGTGCAGAATGTGAAAGCAGCATGTGTTGCTGCACTCGGGCCATATGCTCGCGTGTAGCTGTAATCTGCAGTCAGTCTGTCTCACACTGTGTCTCACAGCGAGCTGGACGGTCCTGCATGTGTGATCAGCGTCTCCCATCGAGCATTCCTCAGTGACAGCCGCAGGGCAACAGCTTCTTTAAATAGCCTCTGGATCGCTGCAGCTCCCTCTCTGAGATCTGCAGAGACGTTTGGGTTCTCTGGGCTCAGGTGGAGCCTTAGCGCCTCCCTGTGGTCAGACGCTGTCTGAACTCATGAGATGTTTAGAAACCAGGGTCATTTGTGGGGATTCAGAGAAATATTACTGTATGGAATTGACTTTTTTCTGCTAGGGTGAAAACTTTATTTAATTAGGATGTGCTTCAGTGAATGAACTGACATGTTTTAATTGTCTAAAGCCTCAGTGCCTTTTGTCTATTTAAGTCTGCAGGTGTCAAGACATCTAGGTTAAATGTTTTTTGTTTGTCTAGGTTACATAAAAATCATTGTTTAATCAGCTTTTTAAATACAGCCATTAAAAAGCTGTAGAAACAATGGTTATGTAATGTTAAAAAACGTTCACTTTTCAATCAGATTTCACCCAGTTTTAACCCAGACATCTCCCACTCAGACGTCCTCGATCTGTAATCAAAGCTTTACTGGCTTATGAAACAATAGGAGACATTGCAATCCCACAATTCCGAGCCCCAGAAATATGAAGTTTTGTATTTTTAGTGCAAGTTCATTCAGAATTTTCTTTTTGAATTCTGCATTCAATCTTTCCCTGGCCTGGTGGTGAAAGGTGGTGAAAACATTTTTTTGGAACTGTTTGAACGGAACTGCTCGTTCTCTTTTCTTTGTTGTCGTCTGACTCTATATTTGCTGCGCAGTGGTCAGTCAAACTCAGCCCAGTAAAAGGACACTGCACAACAGTTGTCCTCTATAGGCTTCATTCCTCCATCATATTATTAGATCTATATACTGGTCCCTTCTCTCTGTGCGATGATTTCTGTTTACCATGACAGAGCTGTCAGGTTTTAGTCTTTAACAAAAGCTCCACTGGTTCATCTTCTTGTTTTTATAGTAATTCAAGCAGCTTGTGTCGCATCAGGATCAGTACAACTCGCACCTGTCAGTGGTAGAGGAGGTTTCTACTCCTGCCTCGGGGTAAAAGTCACAAAACTGCAGTGAAAAAAAATACTGAAAATAAAAGTAAAAGTCCTCCAACACAAACAAGAACATAAATACAAAATGAAATGAGGAGTTTTCTCTGTCATCATCAGGATGACTTAACAAAAAGATTCATGTGACTGGTTTTAGATCTGTCGCCTCTGTGTTTAAGGTTTGGCAAAGTTTAGGCAGCTAAAGCTACTTGGTTAAGCTCTGGGAAAAATGGTGGCCACAGAAGAGGAGGATGTAAACAGCTGTATCCAGCACCCAAACCTCCACTCCCTTTTGCTGGAGTGTAACGCCACACTTCATCTGCCTATGCGTTTACGAGACCACAGTCTTTTTTTTTTAGTTTTTTCTTTTTATTTAGTTTTTTTTGCATAAATGCTGTAATTTTTTGATGAGGACAGTAAAGTCAACAAATGTTATATTAAAAAACACACACACACACACACACACACACTGATCAACTCTCCCACACATTCATAAGTCTGAAGCTCCTGCAGTAGCTCAGCACTTGTGCCTGTTATCAACATACACACACACACACTCTCCTGTCTCAGATTCTTGGCATGACTTCCTCATGGTAAAAAAGGAAACACCCCCCCCCCCCCCCCCCCACTCCCATAATCCCCTCCTGCCCGCCTGTGTGCCATCTCTGACCCTCCTGTAACAAATCCGCGCTGAGGAGGAGCTCACGTCCACTTTATGTTTTGACCACCGGTCTGTTCCTGCTCCTGCCTGTTGATATGAGACAGCGGGGGAGAGAGAGCAGACACCTGATTTATATTCTGTATCATCACTTCTTTACTCACACAGCCTCTGCTTCTCCTCAGCTGTGTCTTTACACATATTATGCCAAACTAAATGCGGGGCTGCAACGCCCCTCACGAAACAGAGGTACCTGTCATCATGTCTAACTCTGGTTTCCGCGGCTGTCGCACTATCTCGCAGCACCTGAACGACCTGAAGAAGGAGAACTTCAGCCTGAAGCTCCGGATCTACTTCCTGGAGGAGAAGATCCAGCAGAAGTTCGAGGAGAGCAGCGACGATGTGCACAAGAGGGTGAGTCAGAGAGTTCACGACACATGCGGAGAAAATGACTTCGCTTGCATGCACGTGATGCGTATATCTGTGGTTGTTTTCCTCTCAAGTGCAGAGCTGCTTGTTGTTTTCAGAGCTGCAGGTTTTGTGTTTGACAGTAACTCGCTCTGACAGCAGCTCTCAGGCTGTTCTGCAACAGTTCATACCAACTGTCAGTCACCAGTTTCTGCCTGTTCAGAGAGACTCAGTGCTGTCAGAGCGAAATCAGCAGCTACTCACTTTCTACAGGGCTGAAGATGAGAACTTTGTTTGGATTCCTCCACAGAGCACAGCGGTTTTGGGGAATTAAGACACAAATAAACAATATGTGTTTGAGCTTGAGCCAGTGGACAGAGGAGAGACCATCAGCTGTTAGACGTCTCTGTCGGCCTGCAGTTATAAAATCCACAGAGGTTTTAAATCATGTGAATAGTTCAACTGCAGGCCATCGAATGTCACCAGTGTAACACCTGTGCACCTTCGTGTCCTGGTAGCGTCGATTTAATAGAACATGTCAGCTCGTTTTACAGCTGTAGAGGTCCAGAAGTGTCTAAATCTGAGTGAGGTTTTGGACGTGAGAAAGATGTTCTGTATGCGCTGTATATATGAGATGTGCTTACAGTGGGACCTCATGTTGATGAGTTTTATAAAGGTTGAATTTTCTATGTATTTATTCTGTTAAACAGCAGAAAATCAAATGGAAATAAATTCTGCAGCACAAACGATTTTTGATTTTACCGTTCATCTGTTTATTTTGAATTTGATTTTGACGGCCGCACTGTGGTAACGGTGGCACGGTGGCACGGTGGTGCAGTGGTTGGCATTGTCGCCTCACAGCAAGAAGGTGCACGTTCTCCTCACGCCTGTGTGGGTTTCCCCCAGGTACTCGGGCTTCCTCCCACAATCACGGGAGACATGCATGTTTAGCTTAATTGGTGACTCTAAATTTGCACGTAAGTGTGAATGGTTGTTTTTCTCTATGTGTCAGCCCTGTGATAGACTGGTGACCTGTCCAGGTTGTAACCCCGCCCTCGCTCAGTGTCCGCTGGGATTGGCTCCGGCTCCCCCAAGACCCTATAAGGATATGAATGAATGATTTTGGACGGAGGCTGATTGAGCTGCAGCATAAACAACATCTTCCATAAATTGAAGTGAATTCTAAGCTGTCCTTCACCCAGAGAACACTGATTACCACAAACAGGAACTCTCAGGAGGAAAACGCTTTTTATTGCATGAGAACATAAAACCTGAGAGCAAAGAACTGAGATTCGTCAGCTCCTCTCAAACGTTTCTTCTGTGAAAAAGTACTCAAACATAAACAGGGAGTTTTAAATCCACTGTGCTGCCTATCAGGATGATGAAGGACACCAACAGTCAGAGCAGTGTATACATATCATCTGCTGAGAGAATGGTTGTTTGAACTGCCTCTGCAGTAACTGTCTGACCTGTTTTCCATCGGCCTCTGTAGACCCGTTGACCCACATTATGTTAGCCTGAGAGCCTGAGAGCCTTCAGGCCTGCTGTTTGCATGCATGCGTGCACACTGTGCATGCGCGCCACCGCTTTAATTTCATGTATACATGTCGCATTGCGAGTGCCCTTCTACGTACGGTGCAAGCAGAAAGGCTCCCACACACCTGTGTTGTGTGTCAGTGTGTCAGTAACCCGACCCGCTGCACACGGACGTGAGGTCCGCTGCCGGAGCGCTGAGCTGGGACGCCACACTGATGTCCAGAAAAATAAATAAATCACCGCAGTCAGATACCTGCACGTGAGCCACGGACGGCCAGTTCAGTCCAGCTTGTTGCTGCTCTCAGAGCCAAAAGTTAAAAGTGGTGGTGTTGCTGGGTGCTGGAGGGGGAGTTGAGGGGATGGTGGCGGATATTACTCCGGTGGGGGGTTGAGGAGAAGACAGATACAGCAGGTGCTCATATCCCTGTCAGTTATTTATAGATCTATTGAGATACGGGGCGGCACGTGAGCGCCTCTCTGCAGTTCTGTGCAGAACTCCATAAGAAATGCTGATTTTTCTGCTTGAGGTTAAGTGGGATAACACTGGAGATATGTTGGTTTTTGGTTTTGCATAACATAGTGGTTTCCTCTGCTGCATTCACTACATGTATCTCCTGCACTGGAACATTATCATGCCAACACCAGGCTGCGTTTAAAACCATCACTGATTTCTAAACCCATGTTTACAGTTGTGGTAATTTTGTTTGGATGTTAATGCATCTCAGTTCAACAACAGTTCCTGTTGTTAGTTTTGCACTGTGACAAATACACACATGTAATTGCTCAACCCTTCCTCTCTTCCAGAACATTGAGTTGAAGGTTGAAGTGGAGAGTTTGAAAAAGGAGCTTGAGGACAAACAGGAGCTTCTGGACCAAGCTCTGTGAGTATCTGACTCCTTCCTGCACAGATAAACCACCGTGTTTCTTACTTCCTCTCACTCTCCGCTGGTCTGAGAACCTCCAAATGCTATATCGTATCTCTAAGAGCAGTCTTAAAATCATATACTCAAAAGCAGCTTCAAATATTCAGCCACTTGTGCTGCACAGATGCCGTTAGGGAAACCTGCCCGATACTACAAAAACACTCTTTTCGTCGCTGGTTTGATTATTTCCCACGAGCCCATCAGTACATCAGAGCGCGGTCGCCCTCGGGACCCAGCAGCCTCTCATCACACACGAACCCGCCGGCCCAGCAGACTCACCTAGCTATCACAACACGCACTAAGCTCGGAGGAATGCGGTGTATGGACTCGGCACTGAAATGCTTTTGAAGGGGATGAAGTGACTCTGTGTTCTGGGACAGAGGACGAAGAGGGGAGGAGGGTGAGGAGGGGAGGCGGGTGAGGGACCGACCGTGGGTTTTGTTTTGAAGGAGGGGAGGGTGTTAGAGAGCAGGGGAGCGGGGAGAGTAAAAGGGCAGAGGTGCCCCCGTGGTTTGTTGTGTTGCTGAGTCAGGAACTATTTGAGCTCCAGCACCTGTCTGTGAGGCAGCTGTCTGTCTCTGTATCAGATTCTCCAGCTCCTCTCCGCTGCCAAACACTCGCCTCACAGCCTGAAGAACCACACCACATCTTCGATAACAATGTTTTTGAAAGTTTACTGCCATTGTTTTTCGGTTCCCAGTGATCCAACAGATTCAATAAAGAGTCAGTCCCAAAAAAAAAAAAAAAAAAGCAACACGTTTTTTATCACCTAATTCTAGGCAAATCGTCTTTGTTTGATTCACCCAGGCTTTGAGATATCAGTCCTCGCTCTCCTGTGGAAGGTTGTTCACGAGATGTTCTGTAGATCAGAACCAGCGCGAAAGATTTTTAAAAGCCACATTTCCATACTTTTAGTGCTACAAAAGAATTTCCATTCCTCTTACTTGTGTTGTAGAGAAGACAGATGTCTCCAAACCTGCACAAATAAAACCAAAGCTATCTGCACGTACAGATAACAGAACACATGCTGACACCAGTACTGACATATACCTTATGAATGTATGAATATTTTGGTCACGGGTTTCAGACACTTCCTGTAATAAAACATCTAAAAGCAAAAATCAAATGTGCGACCCTGGGACAAAATGGGGGTGGTCCTGGTCTAATTTTTTACTCACAAGTTTGAACCCTTGAGGTTTCATTATATTCAGCACTTTTATCACTGACATTTTGGAATTAGCCACTTTGTGCCATTGGCTCCACCTTTCTTATTTTTGTTGAATTACTTTCTGCAGGGTTCAACATTAACCATGGCCCGATGGCCTGGGGCCACAAAAAGTTACTCAGTGGCCACCAAGTATCCCATGTCGGTGGTCCCCTGCGGCCACTAAACTTTGAGCTTTCACCAACGTTAACGTTACAGTTCCACAAACTCCTCACATCATTTGCGTCTTTTAGGTCAACATGCTACAAAAACTGCAAAATGCAACGTGTGTTGTCGCTCCCAGGGACATTTTGAAATCTCATTTTGTTGATTTGTGTCATTATTTTCCCTTCATCAGAGCTCAGCCCGGTTACACTGATGTGAGTAAAAAAGTCCTGACCTTTGACTGATGACTTTCCTAACAGATGGATGTAGGAGCGACACCATTAGCTCGGTACCACAGCGTTATTATGCACCACAGACAGTGATTAGTTCAATCAGTCAGTGTAGAGTGAGAGGGGGAAGAAATTCCAGCCTCTGAGGAGAGTGAGCGCGGGCATGTCGGAGAGGAGTGTGGGGTCAGGGCGGAGTCGTTTTCTCACTCTCTCACTCTCTCTCTTTCTCTCTCTCTGTGCCCCACTGCTTCACAAATAAACTCTGTGGCCACAGTTTATCATTAGAGCTATTAACAGAGGCTGACTGATAGATGTGAGGAGGGAAAAGCTGAGTGCGACCTTCTGGCTGTTGAAGGTGCTGAGTGGCGGAGCAGTGACAGACCGGCTTCACCATAATAGTCTCCACCTTGTTCCTCAGAGGGGGGGGGGGGTGTCCATGTTTCCTTTTCTGCCCCTGGAGACAAAGTTCACCCTGCTGAAGCCTTTTATTATTTCCTCTGCCAACGAGCGAGTGTTTTCCCCTCCACTGGTGTCTTTGTTATTCAGCAGCATATTTCACAGATCAGTGAACAGATTTCAAATATGGGTGCAAACAAATTAGACCATGTGCCGAGAAGTAAGTGGTTGGTTTTTAGAGTGGAGACAGATCCAGAAATGCAGACCTCCTCTTTGAAAACAGACATGCTGTCACACACAGCAAACGCCACAAAATCTAAAGGCTGTCATTTACTCACTAAATCGATCATGACTCAAGACATACATCTGGATCTGGGTAGCTTACCACTACTGCTAAACAATTGTGGAAGGGAAACCCTGAGAGAAACCCTTTGTGTTTTGTCTAATATTCCTTTGAATCAGACAAAAAAAAAAATCTACATTTCTGTCTTTGGTTCAACAATTTGTGATCACCTCGTCCTCCTCTGCAGACTTCACCTAATCTTCACTCTTGGGTCTTGGGTTTGAATATTTCACTCAGTGTAAACCAGTGGTTCTCAAACTTTTTCACATCAAGAATCCCTAAACTGACACAAATTAGATCAAATGGACCCTCCCCCCCACACACACACACACCACACACATCGTCCAGGATTCAGCCACAGATCGTAGTAAGATAAAACGATTCTTAGATCATAGCGCTCGACCCCCACCCCCACGCCGACCCAGCCCACCCACATCTAATAGGATTTTTGCTTTTAGATGTTTTATTACAGAAAGTGTTTGAAACCCATGACCAAACATTATCTCATTGTGTCGCTTATGGATGGAATTATAGTGAAAAGAAATGATTCCCCTTTTTGCCAGACCACACTGATCAATTTAAATACTCTGGCTGTACTGAAAATCTTCACCATTCATCCTTAAAATACTGCTGAAAAATCCCAAACAGGATTTAGTTAACCTCCATAAATCATCAGTCATTTGTATGTTTGTCAATTCCAACGTGCATTTAGATTGAGTTTCTTTCTAGTTTGAATTCTACACTCGTGAATATGTTCACATTCATGCCACTTTCCAGACTCCTGCAGGCTCATGTAACATTTCAAACACCTGATGACTCTGTGATAAAAAAAAGGCCAATTCAAGAATAACATCCTGTGAAACTCATATTGCCTCACATATACTGAAACTAACCAAGTATCAGATTTAGTTGAATACGTGCCAAAGTGTTTATGCACATCACGAGCCAGTGAGATGAGCCTGGGAGTGTTTTGGGAAAGACTCCTGTTAATGATACTCTGATCCAATATAAGTGACCAGACATGAATAAATCATGAGTGTTTGTTGTCTACAGGGGAAAGGAGGCCAGGGAAATAAACCCATCTGCTTCAGAGGACAGATTTTTTATTGCTTATTGACTGACTCCAGGCTTTTCTGCTACTAGACTGTCTGTATTCAAGCTGTCCTACAAGATAACTGGGATCTTAGTAGATAATGTAGATCATGCATACACACACTACCTAGTTACAAATATTTCAATACTGAGCAACATGTACAAAAGATGTTCACGTCACATCATTCTCAGCCGTTCAGAAGACGACCCACTGAGAGCCAAGAAGTATAACAGGCGAAAACAAAATGAATAAAAATGTAAAAGAAAAAAAAAGGCACAGGGTTACATAGATACACAAATATTATTTAGGTAACAGGGAAAAAGTTTCTTTACATTTTCAAAAGCTTTTTGTTGTTTAATAAACCGAGAGATTTGATTAAAGAATTTAGTTCGAGGAGAAAAGGGAACAATTTAGGAGTTGATTTGGCAAATTTCTGTTTGTGGATAAAGAATTTAGCATTTAGAATTATGAAGTTAATTAGATATTCAAGATCCCCATCATTTGGATTATCACAGTAACAAATAATATCTTTAAGGTTGAAAGAGTAGAGAGAGTTAGCAGCTCCAAAAATGATTTAAATGACGTCAGAGTCGGCTTAAACTAACCCTGTCATCTAAATACACTCATTTACACTTTCAGATCAAGCATTTTATTTTCCTGCTTCCTCCGTAAATAACGTTTTTTTCCAAACACTGCAACCCTATAGGCTGACAGCAGACAGCCTGTCCAATCAGAATGAAGCAGAGCTGCAGCGTCGCCTGTCGGAGCGGCAGGAGGAGATCAGCCACATGCAGGAAATCCTGGAAACCAAAGTTCAGCTGCTACAAGAGGTAGAAACACATAAACACTCAGTCATGGGCTTCATGGTGCTGACACTACAAAAATGTAGAAATGGTAAAAACCCTCTGAACAGGTTTGCAGTGACTTGTTGTCAGTCACGCGGTCAGCAGCTCTTTGTCGCGCGTGTGTGTGTTGCGTTCAGGAGGCCGAGCTGGCCCGAGGCGAGGCCGAGAGGATGGCCGAGCTGGCAGACTCTGAGTCTCAGCGATGTCTGGCTCTGGAGAGAGAGATGGTGGAGAGGATGGAGGAGAGCGGAGGCTCAGCTGGACTGTTTACCCAGCAGGCCCTGGCCGATAAAGACAGGTGAGTCGCACTTACACGTTTGAAGATTTACTGGTTTCTCTCTGTCTCCTATCGTCGTCAGTTGAATGTGTCTGTGTTGACTTCTGGACGAAAAATAAGAAACCTGAAGTCCTCACCTCGGTCACTGGTCCCAGCAGCTCTGTTGGCTGACACACTGCTGGTGACACTGCTATCACTGACCTTGTCAAACAGTCTCATGCCTGGAACAAAGAGCCAGAGCTCTGACCTACATACAGTAACTGAGCACAACAGTGAGTCTGGGCCAGATATGTGACTTCTCTCTCTCTCTCTATCTCTCTTGCTCTGTCTCTCAGGGTGATCGAGGACCTGACGCAGGAGAAACATTCACTGGGTCTCCGGGTCGAGGAGCTCGAGGTCAAAGTTCACAGCCTTTCCTCTTCTCTAAAGAAGAAAGATCGGGCAGCTGAGGTACTTTTTTCCCCCGTCCACACCTCTTCTGCATTTATACACCACGTAGCAAACAATATGATAATGATATACAATAAAATGATTCTCTAAAAATGAAGAATTAGTCCTGATGAAGCTCAGATTAAATGTTTCATTTTGTCTTTGTAGTTATAAGGATATGTGCGACATATGTGCAAAGGGGGTGCAGCCCAGAATCTATGTCTTCTTGGACTGGACAGAAGCTCAGTGTGGTCTTATGTCCATGTTGGTTCTGGAGTTAGTCCTGATTAGTCCTGATCTTCACCTGTAAGAGCAACAAAACCTGTAATGGGGGGAAATCTAGTGCCACAAAAGAGCTGAATGGAAACAGATCAAATCAACGCCAGAGTTATTCTTGGTTCTCTGGTTAAGACCTCAAACCCAGGCTCTGAACGTGACCCCCCGTCAGGTGAGCCAGGTGCAGGCTAAATTCCCCTCCCTCCTCCCTCCTCCCTCCTCCTTCCTCTTCTCCCATCACTCTATTCTAAGCGTTCTGGCTCAAACCCCAGACAGGCTGAGAGACTGAGATATCAACCCGTTTTTACATCCACATGTGGGTCAGTGGAACTTTGGCATAGCAGAAGAGCTGCACGCCACCGTGAAGATAAAAACACATGCACGTTATGGCTGACGAGAATATCTCTGCAGGGTTGGAATGAGGATTACTGTCAGTGTAACAGTAGCACTGAGTTTTTAATAAACACTGCACTTGCTACCTGATACAGCTGCTGATATGTATGTGGTCCAGACATCATCAGTGAATAATGAGGCAGGATGGGATTTGATCTGCCTCATATCACATTCAACTTGTTCATTTCAGTTTCAGTCCCGTAAGAGCCTCACAGCTGATTTTAGACTGTGTATGTTTCTCCCCACAGAGTCAGGATGAGCGCAGAGTCAACGCACAGATGCAGGTAAGAAGAACGTTTACTCATCACTCTGTGGGAGTGAGAGCTCTGTTTGTCATGCAGGCGTGGTTCAGTGTGTGTTGGACTCTCACAGCGACACATTTACTGATTGTCTGCTTGTTTCTGTTGGTGATCAGTTCACTACGACTCACTCACAGGGAGGTAGCTCCACCTAGTGTCACCTAAGCTGCACTGCACACACAGTATGAGTGAGGCAGTATTTTACATGACTACGAACATATGAGAGTTTTTTTTGTTTTGTTTTTTTTTTTTTGCTTTTATTTGTAATTTGGTGTTTCCCTAATTTGGCACTGCTGCTTTTATTTCCCTATTATAATCATTATTATTATTATTATTATTTTCCTATTATTATTTCCTATTTCCCATTTTCCCTCATTTTCCTTTTAGGGGGGAAATGGGGGCAAACATAATGCTCAGGCCATTACAATGTTTGGTGATTTTCATACATAATTTTTCATAAAGCACAATTTAATGTCATTGCAAACAGAGAGTCTGGTAGCTCAGCTTGCTAAGCTAAATTAAGTATTAACTACAGCACATTACCTTCTAATAGAGTCCCTCCCCTCTCTGTCTTATTCCCTGGCCTGCAGGCCTACACTGTCTTCAGCTGCTGACTTGTACATACATATGAATCAACAGACCTGGTCTCAGCCACTTTTCCACAGTAACCAGAAGGATGCATTTAATCATTTGTCCCATCAGCACAGCGGCTGTCCTGCCCTCTCATTACCCCCGCGTCTGATGTGTTGCTCCTTCTAATATAAGGTCAGCGATCAGAGACTCGGGGTCGGTGCTCAGTCAGCTCACATGTACAGTACAGTCCTGCTAATTTAGCCTCAGTTCCCTCACTGACGCCAGTTACAATTATAATCAGCTCTCTGTCTGCTGGCTGCTCCACACAGACTCGTTTCATGAGACGGCTGCAGCCTCCACAGAGTAGATCAGTTGTTTACTTGGCAAAGCAACAAGTGAGACATTTGGGGGGGGGGGATCAGCGGAGACACCTCTTCTGTCTACGTCCACATCAATCCCCCCGCTGTCACACTCTGGTATTTCTGCCACTTTGAGGAAAGTAAACATTGGGTGCAGTCTGTCAGCAGTGTTTGGCACTTCATCTCTGATTAGGATTAATTGATTTTTGATTGCGTGCCTCATTCCAGCCGATCAGTGTTTTGCTATCGTGTCTCCAGGGGCTTGTAGGGGGTGACGAATGTGGACACAGTCCGGGTCCACACACACACAAACACACACACACACACACACACAGATAGACAGAGAGAGGAAAACAAATCACATATGAGACCTTTCATGTCAACAACACACCCAGCCTGCTGCGATAATAAAAGACGGATGAAGACCAGTGTATCTGTGAGTCTGTGGGAAAAAGCTCCAGAGAGTGTCTGTTGGAAGTGACATCAGCTTTTTAAGAGCACAGTCCTGCTGCTGCTCGACGAGGGCGACGTGTGATTCACTGACACTAATTCCAGGGAAATGAGAGCCTGCTCCCCTACCACCCCCCTCCTCTGTGTGACATGCATGCGAGGGTTGCACGGGGCCCCCGGGCCCCTGGGAAAGGCATGAACTCATTCCACGCTGACAATTTAGAGAATTTAATGAACCTGATGGAAAACACTCAGAACTGTTTTTTTTTCCTGTAGTTCACACCCTGTACACAGACAGAGAGAGTTACACTGACACAAAGCAGCTTCATGGAAATAGAGAGAGTTATATTTTGAATTTAACCAGTCCTCACAAAATGTTTTGACACTAAGGAAAGATTAATCAGCTGTTTCTGCCCACTGAATATCAGTAATTTGATGATATACATTACAGGTACATATATACAGTATATACACACCTGTGACCAACAAGTATCCAATGCAAATGTACAAAATGAGGGCAAAGTTAGTTTATTTAAACATGTGAAATGTTTCATTAGGTACAAAACATCATTTCAAGAACAACATTTAAAAGGTACCTCAAAATGACAATAAGCTTGTCCTGTCTAAACAGCCATTGGCTACAACCCAAGGTGGTGGCGTAATCAGCCACAAGTGACAAAACTGGAAGCAAAACAAATTAAATTAGAAAAAAAAAAAAAAAGAAAAGTAAAAAGAAAAAAGAATAAAAAGGTTTCATTCAATTAAATCTAGGGATGATAAAAGTTGTTTTAAAAAAAAAAACCTTATTAAACTGATCATTTTGAAACTGATTTTCAGACCTAATTTGTGTCTTAAAGTCACAACCCATGTGGCAAATGTAAATGTAGATACTAATAATAAAAACTTTATTTATATAGCACGTTTCAAAACAGAGTTGCAAAGTGCTGTGCATATCCAAAAACAAAACAAAGCAATAAAAGACACAGAGAGGCAATTAGGAAGACAAGTATAACCGGGACAATTACAAATAAGTGTGTTAAAACAATTAAATCAATAAAACAAACAAAAGAAAAGTATGTTTAGTAAATTGGGGCAACGACTGAGCAGCTCCACCGACAAACCTGCTGTCACTCCCAAAATGACTGATGGGTCCTTTAATTTGTTAAGTTCAGAATGATTTTGTTTGTTTTCATAGAAAATAGTCATTGAGTGACCTGTCAAAGGGCAGGGCTCAGAGACCCTCCCGTTCCCAGTAAAATGGTTCAGCCGAGGCGATTGCAAGAGGTCTCACTCCTACAGTGATATCAGCAACCGGAAATCTAAATCTAAAAATTATCTTTATTTATTTTTTTTTTTTTTTAAATGATTAGAAACCTGAGCGTGTTCTCAATAAAGTTCCACAGTAGTTTACAAGATGGGGATCACCCACTGTTAAATGTCCAATGACAGAACATGTTCACGTCACGCTTTAGTTTCAACTACAAATATTAAGACCTCATAAATATAAGACCTCATGGGTCATAATGAACCATAATAGAAATAAGACTACATTTGGCATTATAATATTCTGTGTGTTTCATACACTTTTGTCCTCTTTTAAGGGTTGCTGATTTCAAGGAATCATTGGGATAATTAATAAGAAAGTTAATAACACTTTCACACACTTATGGTGACTTAAATTATCAAACCTATTAGACCGTTTTTATGGTTTTAGACACATGATATTTGCTGCTTGAGCTGCTTTCAGTGGATCCTTGTAGTCCAATCACTTGGAGTTAAAGTTAAAACTGCACTATTGTCGGAGTGAGGCATCTTCTCGCACGTAGAGGATCTTGGTTTCTGTCAACGTTGCCTCGTTGTCTGAAAGCGGGTGGACGTCTGACAGCCTCTCCCTCCATCCTCCGCTGGTGAAGCCGCCGCCGGTGGACAGAGACCGGGGCGGGGACACGGACAGACTCCGGTGAATCTACAAACATCCAAACCGTCGACGAGTAAAGAGCGGCTGTTGTGTTTTTTTCCGTGTTCGTGTCGGATTATAACGGGGGAGCAGCTGCTGCAGCGGGGAGATGCTGTCATGTAAATAGACGTCATTGATTTAAAAGCCTGGAAGTAAAGCGGTGACATCAGCTGCTGATCGTTTCTGCACCGGAATCACTGAAGACAAAAACGACTGGGATTTTTTTTTTTTTTTTTCTAAAAACAAAAACGGGATCGAACTGGCAACACATGCCCACAGTGTTACCACCAAGGAAGTGAAAATGTAACCCGTGACAGAGAGATCCTCTCACATCCGCTCTGCGGGGAAATCTGTTTCACTGCTGATCGCGTTGAAATGTCAGTGTGAACCGACGAGATTTGCTTCTTCATCTGATCTCCATCATCAACTAACCCAGTTTTACTTCTTCTGATCAAAGCTGAATATTCTCTGCAGTGATTCATTGCATCATCAAATCTCACTTTATGCCCAGAAATCAGTTTAATGCAATTTAATTAAAGCCTCCGAAATGTGCAGCAGAAATAAACGTGCATATCTTAAACGTTTAATTTGAATTTAACCTCAAATTTAAGATTAAAGCATCACTGTGCAAAACTTGTAATGACAAGGAACTGCGAACTGTTGGGCCACACCTGTGCAAAAATCCAACCAAACAAATCACCGCTTTAAAGTTACTCTGACCAGCTGTGATTTCATCCTCCAACCTAAAGAAACTCACACCTCTTACATGCTACCAAAGACTTTTAAAGCGCCCCTGTGTCACTGAGAGATACTCTGCTACCACGTGCTGTTGTGATGCTGGACGTGGTGAAGATGAAGGAGGCCTGCAGGATCTGTGCCCGCGAGCTCTGCGGCAACCAACGCCGGTGGATTTTCCACCCGGCGGCCAAGCTCAACCTGCAGGTGCTGCTGTCCCACGCTCTGGGCCACGAGCTGACCCGGGACGGCCGCGGGGAGTTCGCCTGCTCCAAGTGCACCTTTATGCTGGACCGCATGTACCGCTTCGACACGGTGATCGCCCGAGTGGAGGCCCTGTCTCTGGAGCGCCTCCACAAGCTGCTGCTAGAGAAAGATCGGCTGAGGCAGTGCATCGGAGGCCTGTACCGGAAGAACAACGCAGAGGATGGGAACACGGCTCCGGCCGGGTCCAGTGTGGAGGTTGTTGGGACAGAGGTGGGGTCTGAAGACTCCCCTGTGGTGGATCTGTCAGCCCTGCAGGATGTGAGATACTCTGATATGATCCAGGATGATCTGACTTACTCTGTGTATGAATCATGGGCTGATAAGGAAGACCCCGCCCTGGACCAACACCACCAACACCACCAACACCACCATGTCCACCACTGCCCAGGAGGAGACTCCCTTTCCGGCCAGAAGCCAAGGAGGTGCAGGGGTTGTGCGGCCCTGCGTGTAGCAGATTCTGACTACGAGGCGGTGTGTAAGGTGCCTCGCAGGGTCGGGCGAAGGAGCACGTCCTGCGGCCCGTCTACTCGCTACTCAGCCAGTGCTCAGGGGGTGGAGGACCCCACCAGAGCCTCTGGAGGATCTGAAGCTACAACCATTGCCTTTGAGTCCCCTTCAGCTGATTTGGACACTGATAAGACCATGTGTGACCAGACGAGTCCCAGCCCAGCGTCTTCTGTAGAATCTCTGGACACCGCCGTGGACATGAGTTGTCCTCCTGCAAATCACAAAGAGAGGGAAGAAACTGAACCAGAGAAAGATCCAGAGGATGCTCCAGTGAGAAGGGAAACTCCATGGGACAAACCCCCAAGCGAGAGCTCCCACTCTGGGGTTGAGATGATGCTGAGCCTCCTGAGGGGCTGGGAGTACCGGCCAGTGAAGCCTCGAAGGGGCAGCAAACTCCCAGTTCTGGTCAAAGCCAAACTGGAACAAGGCCTTTCGCTGGCCCTGTCCATCCCGCTGAGGTCACCCGGTGGGGGGGCAGCGGACATTGAACTGTACCACCCCCACCAGCCTATACCGGAGGTGGTGACCCCGTGTCCACAGCAGGACCTGCAGGTGGAGCTGGCAGAGATGGAGGAGCAGTGGCTGGATGATTATGTTCAGTGCAGGCCTTTCCGCTTCCAGCAGGTAGTTGACCAGCCGCAGTGCAGCTGCGGTCATGCTGCTCAGACTGTAGAAACAGCTGTAAATACCAAGTCTGAGGAAACTTAACGATGTCATTGGGGTTAACCTCGGTTTAAGACTAAAGATTTTAACAGAAACTCTGCATTACAAACCTGATTTGTGGAGGCTGAAAGATGTGTTTTTTAACCAGAACACAAAAAAAGGGGAAAAACGGGTGAAAAAAAATCAATCAGGCAAAAATTGTTATATTGCTATATAAATCTAAATTACAGTGCAAAAAACCTGTAGTAATTCTTGATGATTTAAAGTGACACTGATCTTAACTCGTTATGACGTTATCAGAAGCATCCTTGGTAAAAAAAAAAAACAACACAAAGGCACAAATCTCACATTTACAGCACAGCAGAATCTGACGTAGGCTCAGTCCAGCTGAGGAAAAACTCAACACCACAACCACTTCTTAAGAAGGTCGACCAGCTGATTCCCTGCTTGTGTGCGTCTGCCGTCCAGACTCAAAGCAGTTCAAACCTCCCTGGATTTTCTGTCTTACTCATCTCCTTCACCGCTGACAAAGCTGAACACACTCAGCCTAGCGCCTTGATTACCCTCTCGAGGAGGGGAGGGGGGGGGGCATAAATACCCTTCCTCATTGGTATCCTAGCAACGCTTCCGTTGTCATGGGAATAGTCTCCAAGCGCTGCAGCGGTCAGCCCCTCGTGTGAAGGCTCTGCCCTGAGTCTGATCCAGCTTCATAACTAGTCTATTGTTATGTTAATGATTAGTTTGAATGTGGCTGACTGTGCCAGGAGCGGAGCGCGGCTCTGTCACAGTCTATTACAAGGAAATATACCAGCATGTATAATGGACCTCTCACTGGTATGAATGAGGAAAGTTACACTCATGTCATTCATACTCTGAGAAAGACTCCACAGTGTTTAAAAGCAGATTCTTGACTTTTCTCTGACTGCTGACCCGAGGTCTGTTTCGTGATTTGGCAACAGTAGAAAATTAGTGTGTGTAATTAGTCTGCACTGTGGCAAGGCAATTTATTTGTATAGCACATTGTCATACACAGAGGTCATAAATGTGCTTGAAAGAAAATAAAAGACGCATAAAAAATAGAGTTTAGAAACATAATAAGAAAACTACGGTGGCCCTGAGAGCTCAATGCACTGCAGAAAACACATGCAAAGACAGAGAGAGAGAGAGAGAGAGAGAGAGAGAGAGAGAGAGAGAGAGAGCCATGGGGTTGGCTCGAACCCGGGCTGCTGCAGTTAGACTATGCCTTCATGGTACGCGCTCTACCAGGTGTTAAGTTGCGGTGCGTTGAGCTCTCCGGGCCACCGTAGAAAACGATATGAAAACACAGATTATAAAACAGATAATATCTAATTAAAGTGTGATAACGCAGGTTAATTGCATGTCTCATCTCCTGACTGCTTGAGCTCACATTAAGTTCATACTACAGTGGTCGACATCAACACAATAAAACACAACAAGTTGTATCTGCATGAATGTAGAGTTTTAGTTTTAGTTTATTTATTTATTTGATAGAGACAATGCAATGCAACATAGTTTCAAAATAGGGCGTGAAACTAATGTGTTGCACAAAGAGTTTATAGCTGTTGCTAATTCTCGACTCCTGTCCCTGGTTGGGCTTTTACCTGTATAATGTAATTAAAACAGACAACAGCAAAAACAACACAAAACAGACAACACAATTGATAATATCCTACAATTAGCTACAAATATACAGATGAACAGTCTAAAAAGAGACAACAACAGCACAACGAGCTACAAACAGTCAAACAAAAACAATTAACGATATGTAGTTACCTAGAAATGAGTGCAGCTCTGCTTTGCTTTCAGCAGCAGTTAACCTTTGTTGCAAAGCAGGTTATATCTGGAGTTAATTTGATTTCAGTCGATGATGTGTTCCAGAGTCGACAGGACTTTATGGAGGAAGCTGATATCCAAGGTGTCCAAATTTAGTTTCACGATTTTTGCAGTTGCCATTCACCACGCTCCTAGTTACTCGGTTACTGTCTCGTCTATGGATATATCTGGAGAGAGACTCTGGGGCTGAACTATTGATAACATTCATAAAGTAATTTGAGAAAGCAAAGATGAATAAAGCTCTCAAAACTAATTAGATTATATCTTTTCAGGATGTGATGGTGATGTGATGCCATCGGACAGGCTTTTTGTCCATCTGCTCTTGCTTGATTTTACAGGCCCCACCGTTTCTTAATGATGTCCTTGAAAGGCTGTAAATTCTGAGCAAGGAAACTAATGACAGGGAAAAGTCTGGTGCACGTCCAGACCAGTCCTCCAGATAAGCACACACTTCAACAAATGGGGAGAATCAAATTTCCAGTAATGCATGAATATTTTCTTCGGGTAGTTTTCTCAAGGGAAATCATCTCAAATCAACAACTGCTTTCTATGCTGTGTAAAGTGGCCGAACTCATCTCCTGATTTCCTCTCAAAAACCCGAATACATGAGCTGGAATTACTATGTTAAAAACTTTCTCTATTTCCTTATAATTAGCGCTAAATTGCCCAGAACCTTTCAGGACACTAACGAGGGGGTTATTTGGAAGTTATGGGATCCATAAAATAAAACATTAGCTCTTATTTCTTTTATACGTCTCCTTCGCTGCTCGTTAATTTGACCCGCTGAGGTTCTGGGATCGCGGCTGAAACAGCTGTAGAAGAGGCTGCACATACGACTAATAACGTCCCATAGGACCAGACTTACATCATGTCGTTACACGGGTCCCATAAAAACAAAAACAAGGAAGTCAACAACACGCTGCCGTGGCAACAGCCGCTTCCCCAGGAAGTCATCCAACAGTGAGCTGACATCACTTTCCACTTTCACACAATCGTCCACACAGACAGCTGCGAGGATGACACACTGTGTATCTGTGTATCTGCAGCTGCAACTGTAAACCGCTGATTAATCCGCCAACTGTTGTTTGGATTAGTCATTTCATTGTTTTGGCTGTTTGATCAAAATTTTTCCAAACTTTTATTTAAGGATTTTGCCACAACCCCTGTATAATTTATCTGCACTGACATGACGCGACCCCTCCTGTGTGTTTCAGTGGCTGATTGACGAGCAGCAGGGTCAGCTGAGCCACTATGAGAGTGCTGCAGGCCAGTGTGTCGGTGAACTGCAGAAGGCCCAGGACCAGGTCCGCTCGCTGCAGGCCAAGATCCGAGAGAGCGAGACCAGGAACCAGGTACAAACACATCAGCCCCTCCCCGCCCTCCCCTCCCCCTTCCACCCACAGTCTTACACGTCATCCATCTGCATCTGTTGAATCAAAGCAGAAAAATTGAATCCAGATTTAGTGTGTCAAGTGTGTGTTTCAATTGTGTTTGTGTATGTGTATGTGTGTGTGTGTGTGTGTGTGTGTAGAAGCTGCAGGAGCACCTCGGTGAGATGGAGCTGGAACTGCGGTCGACCCGAGAGGAAGCCCAGCGGCAGGAGCGAAACATCCAGAACATCAGTGATAACGTCAGCTCCAAGGAGGCAGAGGTAGAGAGGGGTGGATGGATGGATGGGTTGATAAGGAGATAAGAGAAGAGGGGCGGATAAAGGAGGTCAAGGAGGAACCAGAGACAGGAAGGAATAAATTTAGACATGGGATGAAAAGGTCGAACACAGCAGGGAACGGAAGGAAACTGGAGGAGGACTGAAATCTGAAAATGAAAAGGATGCACAGTATCAGACTTGAACAGTGGTGTGTGTGTGTGTGTGCGTGTGTGTGTGTGTGTGCAGGCTGCAGAGCTGTATACGGTGATTGAGGAGCAGAACAAGATGCTGTGTTCGCTCAAAGAGCTCGCCAACCGCAACCAGCTGCAGCAGCTGCAGGTTTGTCCTCCACAACTGACACAGTCTGACTCCAAAGTGGAGCTCTCTCGCATCGCTCACAAATTGATTTCTCTGTCCTCTCCTCTTCCTCCCTCTCGGGGGTTCCTCCCGCAGGTGTCAGGGGCGGAGAGTCTTCGAGGTCAGGGTGAAGTTCTGGCTCTGCAGGCCTCTCTCTTCCAGGCTCAGCTGGAGCTGCAGGCCGGCCAGCGGGCGCAGCGGCAGGCGGCCAGAGCGCAGGAGGACCTGAGCCGCGCCCTGCAGAGGCTGGAGAACGATCTGCAGGGGGCGCTGCAGCACAGGAGGGAGACGGAGAGGCACAACCAGGTGAGAGAAGCAAAGGATCGCCATCTCGCCGCCCGGCTCTTCGTACCTCTATGCTGACGTGTATGTGATGTCGGTGTGTGTTTGCGTGTGACGTTCAGGAGCTGCAGCTGGCTCTGGAGAACGCTCGATCGGCCATGCAAGAGAGAGAGGAGCAGCTGAGAATGGATGAGGAAGAGAAAGAGAGGGAGAAGGAGGAGAGAGAGAAGACCATCAGGGAGTTGAAGACGTCGCTGCAGACCAAAGAACAGCTGGTGGAGGTCAGACTCACTCAAACGCACTGCGTACAGTAAACACAGATCTACACCAAACATCTATTAGTTATGTCACATCACAGGCACTCAAACCACAAATCCAAACATGCTGCAAACACAGCTGAGAGTGGAGCAAGCTGCAGTTCCTCTAATCACCAGTAGATACTCAACTCAGACTCACTTTGAGATCCCTGCCCCTCGTGTCAGCCTGTCTCATTTAGCCGAGTAAATCTGGATTTTTCTGTCGTCCAATCAGGACTACTGTGAGCTGCTGGAGGATCCGAAGGAGAAGAGAGACTCTCTGCTTCAGAAACTCCGCCAGCGCATCAAGGAGCGAGACCGAGCTCTGGAGGTAAAACAAACAAACGCGCCCACGGACACTTCAGCTGTTGTTCAGTAACGTATATTGATGAACATTTTACTTTTATTGTGTTGAATAATAATGTTTGTTTTGTTTTTTTTGCCACACTTTGTTGACCCGATTGCTGAGATTGATTACCAGCCGTCCAGAACCAAAACTGTCAGGCTCGGTGATGATTGACACTTTTTTTGGTCGTTCTGCAGCGAGCGGTGGATGAAAAGTTCCGCTGTGTGGAGGAGAAAGAGGGGGAGACTCGTCGGCTTCAGCTGCTGCTCAGAGAGAAGGAGAGAGACCTGGAGAGACAGCGCTGCGTCCTGGCCAACAACGAGGAGACCATCACTGTAAGAGTGCACGCACACACACACACACACACACACACACACACATATTTAACCTCCTAGATCTGTCGACTGCTCCTAACACTCACTCTGTGTGTGTGTGTGTGTGTGTGTGTGCGTGTGTGTGTGTGTCAGAGCCTGGAGGTGCTGGTGCGAGGGAAAGCTCTGGAGCTGGAGCAGGTGGGCGACGCCTGGAGGAACATTCAGCGGCAGCAGCAGGAGAGCGAGGAGAGGCAGAGCCGCGTGCTGAGAGAGAGGGACGCCATCATCAGCCAGCTGCAGGCGGCGCTGCACACTCGCACACAGGAGGCACAGGTACAGAGGGGGCGGGAACAAACAGGAAGTACATTTACTAAAATATTAATATCAGTTATAAGTTAATCATATCATCAGCCAGTGATGTGGGAGTATATCTCTGCACGTTTCTTCTTCTTCTCTCGGCTGCAGGATCTGCGCTGCTCCCTGCTGGCTCAGATCCAGACAGCTCCCAGCGACGTCCTGGAGGAGCTGAAAATCCGCCTCCAGCTCAAAGACCGCCTCTTCCAGGAAGTGCTCGCCGACCGGACCCGTCAGTCCCAGGAGCACCAGGACCAGGTCCAGGGTCTGCTCACAGCCATCAGCTCCAGGGACCAGTACATTCAGGTAGAGCAGAGGAGCTCAGTACAAACACTTAGACTCAGTAAAATAGTCACATATAGAAGAAATGACGATACTCTCCCACCAGGACTCTGCGGGCCGCCTCAGTGAGGTGATGACCGAGCAGACGTCCAGGCTCCAGGAGCTCCGCAGACAGCTGAGCTCTGGTCTCGGATCTAAGATCGACTCTGGAACAGACTCGGCCGTGGAGCTCCAGGCGGTGCAGGAGGAGCTGCGTCTGGCCCTGAGGAGGGAGAAGGAGAACCAGCAGCTGAGCAGGAGTCAGGCCGCCAGGCTGGACTCCCTGAGCAGGACGCTGCATGTGAAGGAGGAGCTCATCAGGGTCAGTGAGAGAGAGGGATCACCTACACTACAGTATAATGGCCAACATTGATAAATCCAGACTCATGTCCCTGTGTGTGTGTCTGTGTGTGTGTGTTCCTGTGTACTACAGGACTTCCAGAGGCAGATGGTGGATCCTTCAGGCCTCCCACTGGTCGAGCGACTGACCCAGGAGGTTCAGGAGCTGAGGGAGAGCCTGGTCCAGCAGGAGGGTCTCCCAGCCAGAGGCCCCATCCTGGGCCGCGACAGGCCCAACAGCAGGCAGCCTGAGTTTGGAGGTGGGCATCAGAGAAGCATGGGACAGTATCTGTAACAGCGACTCCCCCGGCAGCCGGGAGCGGCGACTGTGCTGTGGGGGGGGGGGTCCGGGGGGAGGGACTCACTGTGTTGGTGGTCTTTGAGCTAATTTACCATAAGTTTAACCCATGGGACTTTGTGGTGAAAATACTAACACTCAACGTTTTTTATTGTAACCAGTGGTGGAAGTGACGTTTGTCTTCTAAACTCTTTTCAAGATTATGCTTCTTAACACTGATGAAAGAAATGTGTGCTTCATTAATGAGACAATCAGTTTTAGGGTTAGGGTTAGGTTTATTCTTTTATCTGGGCTGCCCTACGGTTCAATCTCCTCTCAGCCTTGACAAACTTAGAAGCACAAAGTCTCACATTTTATCTGTGCAAACTATTTTAGTATCCCAACATCATCACCGACATGTTTTCTAACAGGAGTGCTGATGAGTAAAAGAAATTCTAAAAAAAAAAAAAAAAGATTGTTTGTGCCTCAGTAAATTGGTTTGGTATAATTCAGATATTTTGATAATAAACTCTAAAAAAGGCACTTTGCAGAAGAGACGTGATGAAGGGCGCTAAAAAGATAATAGAATAAAAAGTACACACAAAAAAGTGAAATATTAATAATTCATTTCTTGATATCAATCAAAATGCAATTAGTTAAACTGGACTTTAGTCTGAAAAGTGAAGAATTAGTTTTGTTTTTTCATTAATTTTGTAAATTAACATTTTCAGTCATTTCTTGTTCAGCTCCTCAGTCCGGGCGTCGTCCTGAGTGACGGTCGGTTTAACCAGGAAGTGGCTGAAAATATTTTATTGAATAGGTTTGCTAATGTCTCAGTTCAGTTATTGTGACTTTGCACAATTTATGTTTTATATTTTGTCTTAAGGTCTATTTTGTATTATCAGTCATAATATATTAGTGTGTGTGTGTGTGTGTGTGTGTGTGTGTGTGTGTGTGTGTGTGTGTGTGTGTGTGTGTGTGTGTGTGGGTGTGTGTGTGTGTGTGTGTGTGTGTGTGCCTCTGCATGATCAGCAGCATGAATGATCCTGTTTCTGAACGCTGTAAAATGTTTGGCAGTTGAACGCAGCACACTTTTTTGTTTTACTGACCGATATGAAAATAGAAGCAGAGTCCACCTTGTTTTTATTGTTTTGATGCTGTGTACCCTGTTTACAGCTCGCATGTTTCAAATGTACATTTGCTTCTGTGACTTTATGAGACTCTGTGCAATTCGCCAGCCATCAGTTCCGTTATTCTGTGGTTCAATATTAATGAATATTAATACAATATAAAAGTCAATAGTCACACTGGAGCACAGTAAGTATGAATGTTTTTTCTCCTTCTTCTTCTTCCCATAAAACAGAAGAATGTAAAAAAAGAAAAAAGTTTGTGTCTGCCTGAGAGGTTTTACCAACATTAAAACAAAGTTCATCCATATTTGTTGCTTTGCAGAGTACAGTACACTAAATAAACATGTAGCATCATGCATGTATGATTTTAGGGGGGTTTCATGGTTCATACAGTTGAAATAACTGTTTACTTGTATATTTTCACACTGCCCCCAAGTTGTTTTATTACTGTCCCCCCTCTATAGTGACGTCTTTATGGTACATTTTTCTCCACTACATGAATGAACACATATATTTACAGGATCAAGTCGCTGAATACACTTCCTTAACATAATTAGTGTACACTCAGAGAGCACAGACTTCCATGGAAACCAATGTCAAACAACATAAACTAGACTTTAGAGAGAAAAATACAAACTCTTAGTGAATGATCCAGATCTGCCCCAAAATTTAATGGGCTCTTCCCTGGTCCATGACCCACCCCTCCACCATGTTCAGTGCAAACCGGTTCAGTAGTTTTTTATAAACCTGCAGACAGACAAACAAACAAACAGACAGACAGATAGAGGGGAAAACACAACCCTTCTCTCCTCGCCATGTGGATGTGTGTCTGACTGAAGCACCAAAACTACACAATTATGACATGACATACTTCACACTTCACTCATGAGGTTAGTTTTCAGTCTGCAGATTTACCAGAGCCAGAATGTTAGAGACAAGACGTTTTACTGGTCTCCTTAAGACTCACATAATATTTATTCATTTAACATCGACCTTTAATTCATTATATTTGGTCTACATATGGTTACATATGGTCTGAATGGACAGAATTCTCCACACTGGTAGTAATGTAATTCTGGTAGAGAAACATTAAATCCCCTTGTTTTATTCTAATTTATTTATTTATTGCCTAAAACAGTCACATATAAAATAAATATCCTGAAGAATATTTAAAAATCATAATTTTTTTCTGTAATTGTAGAAAGAAAACGTCTCCGAAAACTCACAGAGACAAACACATGAGGGTCACATGATTCAATAAAACAAAGTATGAATGTATAAATTTATAAATGGGACACCGGTGATGCGAGTGAGAGGCAGCCGTTAATTCATTCCATCACATTTTCACTTTAAATCACGAAAAGTCAAGGCCAGGATTTACCTCACCATGTGGCTCAGATTACCCATAATCCTGTTCTGGTTAAACTCCTGGATGAGCCACCATTTTGTCCATAAAACCTTTTTATTGGCTTCATATCTTGGATTAAATCCCGGCCATGAATCGGTGTGTAAGAACGTGTAAATCGCTCGACACCGATCACAAAGTGTCAGTTCATTGTGTTGCAGGTTAAATTACGTCACAGCGCAGTAAATAAACTGGGTGGTTAATAGATGCTAATAGATGCTGTTAATATGTCCATACAGTCAAACTCGTGTGGTCTAAAGCTCAGCAGTGTAGCAGATGTTGTGTTAAAAATGACCAACATCATCATGAAAGTGAAGGATGTCAGTAAATCAGCTGGACCGTCTGAGCAGCTGTTTCAGAGACAACCAGATGTTTTCTCAGTGACTCTCAGTGGGACGGCTGCTGAACTGCACAAGGTCACGAGTTGAACAGAAAACTGAACAGAAATGTAGAAGAATTTGTTCTAAGGTGAAAGTTCTTACTTTTTTCTCCTTTCTTCTTGTAGAACTGAGCACAGAGGAGGAAGACGAGGCCGACGATGAAGATCTCAACAGCGAGTACACAGAGAGCATCGATGAAGAGGAGACGACCACCCAGGTATAAACACGACTCACCTGAACGTCTGGATAAGCTCTGATTAGTTTCAGCCTGTTTGGATTGTGTTTGTGGTTTCCACAGGCGACATATAAAATACTGAAGCAACATTATGTGCAAGAATCTTTACCACTGTGCAGCTTTAAAAAAGAAAAAAAAATCTTTGAATTTAAATCTTGTCACCATTAGTTTAAGTTTGAAAAACTAAGACAATAAGACACTGTAACAACTGTCTTTCTGCCAGCATTCGTTTTTAAATATTAACTTAAATACTGTCCTTACCTAATAATACAGTAGTATCTGCTGTGTGGTACTTTTTCTGTTATTTAACAATTTATTGTGCTTTTACTTTGAAATGTCTGTGTTGGGGCACAGCGTCTTTTAGAAATTGGTTTTTTATGTATGTAATACTTCATACACATTATAGTGGGTTAGTTATTGTGAGTAATTATTTTCATGACAATAAAAGAACAACGAAAGACTAAACAGCGAAAAGAGTAACCAGAATTAAAAATAAATAAATAAATAAAATGAAAAATAGCATAATATATACACTTGTAAGCAACCTATCGCTCACTCAGTGACTGCTGTGTGCAGCTCAGGTCCATTTACACAAGCTCATATAAATCCATAAAAAAAAACAAAAGCATTCAGTAACATAGCTGTGATTTTTCTCTGCTTGTATATCAAGTAAAAACTTTGACTGTGTCTGACCAGGGTTCTGCAGGTCCAGGAAAGGCTCTATCGCAGGACCTGCTGTTTGAAGGCCAGGGGCTGATGGAGGTCAAACAGCTGGTGGAGCAGAAGAGGGCAGTGGAGAGAGAGCTGGGAGAGCTGAAGGCTCAGCTGGAGAAGGCCGGCTTCTCCTCGCTCTCGCAGATGAGGTAAAAAAAAGAAAAACAAAGAAAAGATTTATTTATAGGACAAGGCTGCCGATGTTCTGTAGATTTTTCTAATTGTCAACAAATCAACAATGAATTTACTCTCAGTCTCACATACTAACACACACACACACACACACACACACACACACACACACTCTGTCCTGCTGCCAGAAATACTTACTAGAGCACCAATTGTGGTTTAGTCCACCACTGAAAATAGTCCCCCTTAGTATTTATTTATCTATTTATACTCTAGTTCTTTTACCTATTATTTATTCCTCATCTATAGAAGTTTTCTTTATTATTGTTACTGTTTTTATCTTCATTATTACCTTCCTCTTCCCACAGTTTATATTATGTTATTGTAATTGTGTATTATTCCTTTTACCTGCAGTAGTTTCCCTGGGTCTGGTCTAAACATGTCATTGTACAGATGTTATGTTATACTGCACAAATGACAAATAAAGTAGGACGGAAGTCAAAAATGATTGAGAGACACACTAATACATTGTTGGTTACGGTCTTTTCGTGGGATTTGTCAACAGTAAGAAAAATCCAGAAGAATGTCTTTTCAACAGTTTGATGAAAACTTCATTTATATCCTTCCACCTCTCTCCGTTTTAAAGGAAAGCTCTGTTCAGCCTGCAAGCAGAGAATGAAGACTTAAAGCATCAGCTGACTGAGGGTCTGCAGCCTGACGGTAAACAGAGTGATGACCAGAAAGTGTTGGGGGGCGAAGAGGAGGAGGATGAGGAGGAAGAGGAGCTGGATGTGACCATAGAAGGGGAAGAGGAAGAGGAGGAGGAAAGCTCGGAGATGTGGGAAGCCTGGGACAGTGAGGCGTCTCTGTCGCAGACCAACATCCAAACCAGTGATGAGCAGAAGACCAGAGCCACCAGACCCGAGCCCCTGCACCTGCTCAACACCCCCTCACAGGTACAGGTACATTTTTGTTATTAAAGAGCTGTTAGACCATGAAACTGATGGTCCTTCATTTTTCATCACAATCTTTATTAATGGTCCTGTATCATGCAGGGTGATGACATGGACAGCGAGCTGCAGCAAGGCGCAGCGTCTTCTGAGAGGAGTGAGAGGACGGTCCGTCTGCAGCAGAAGAGCAAAGAGCTGAAGGAGAGGCTGATGGTGTCCGAGGCCACAGTGCAGGCTCAGGCCGAGCAGCTCAAAGACTACAGGGAGCTGCTCAGTGAGTGGACTGAAAGTTTTATATATGGTGTTATTTCCTTTGAAAAATAAGCAAAACGAATATGTCAGTGATTTAAAAATGCCATATTTTAGTGGGCTCAACTTTCAAAAACTTCTTCTTCTGTGTCTCTGCAGCCGAGACGACGGTACAGCAGGACAGTAAGCAGATCCAGGTGGACCTGCAGGATCTGGGCTACGAGACCTGCGGCCGCAGCGAGAACGAGGCTGAGAGGGAAGACACCAGCAGCCCAGGTATTTCATAACTCTGAGAGCTCTTCAAAAACTAACTGAAACTAAACATTTCATCTTTTGGTTGGGGTTAATAAATCAAATAATATCAATTCGTTTTCTGGAAACAGCAACTTGTAGAGTTGTAATGGTGTCTTAGGAACACCAGAGGGCAGCAAAGCCAACCTCTCACAGTAAGACTCACAGAAGCTCATTAACACATGTAGCTGTTTACATCCATACTTTCCTCTAGACATCAGCCAAAGTGCTATAGTGTTTTATTTACTTATTGTTATTATTATTGTTTTATTTTCCAATATTCTAACTATATATATATATATATAAACCTCTCACAGTAAGACTCACAGAAGCTCATTAACACATGTAGCTGTTTACATCCATACTTTCCTCTAGACATCAGCCAAAGTGCTATAGTGTTTTATTTACTTATTGTTATTATTATTGTTTTATTTTCCAATATTCTAACTATATATATATGTATATATGTGTGTGTGTGTGTGTGTGTGTGTGTGTGTGTGTGTGTGTGTGTGTGTGATTACCCTGTTGTTGTATTTTGCAATAGCAGATCAAAAGCTCAAATATATATTTTCATTTGTAGTGTACAGCACATTTTTTAGTGAGCAGAACCTCGCTGATATAAATACTGTGAATAAAATATTAAAAACATTTCAGCACCACCAGAAACTTCATGATTTAAAAAAGTCACACACCTCCATAAAACAGTTTAAACAAAAACTAAACCTTCACGAAGGAGGAATTATTGTAGGTCTGTTGTATTTCACTTCATTAGTGTCTGTGATAGTAAAGAAATCATGACTCAGACTTTTTACTGTATGTCCCTGACAGAGTTCGATGATCTGGAGATGTGTACATCTCTCGACTGTGGGTCCCAGTGGTGGCCTGCCACCGCCACCAGCACCAGCTCCACCTTCACTAAAACCACCACCCAGAACTCCGGTTATGGAGACGAGGCGTCGTCTCTCCAGCGTCTTGTCGAGGACCTTCGCTCGCAGCTGTCCCGCTCTCAGGGAGTGATCCGAGGGCTCCAGAGCCGCCTCCGCTCCCTCTCCACCTCCAGCGACTACGGACCCTCTACACCTCGCAAGGTCAACTGGTCCTTCCAGGCCTCGCCCTCACAGAGCGGCACGGAGGATGATGAGGGTTGGCAGTCATCTGACGGAGGTCCACTGGCTTCGCCTCGTCACCCTCACCCAGACAAGGGCCTGCAGGAGCTGGTGTCACGTGTGGATGCTCTGGAGAACCAGCTGAGGAAAGGAGGCAAGAAGTCTGTGGACCAGGACGGAAAGTCTGCCACATGGCCCGGGTGAGTGACTTTTTATCCTCATATTTATTTAGAAAGTTGTTAGATAGATAAATGAGCATTTTTCCATAGTTTCATTTAAAGTCAAGAAAAAGTGAAAACCGAAGTCGGTCCTTCACAGAAAGGAGGGATTATGAGCAAGTTGAAGGCTTTTAATGTGAAACATCAGCAGGAAGTGATTATGAATAGCCCAGGAGTGATTAACAAGTGAATGAAAGGTGGAAAATAAAATGAATTTATCAAAACAATATCTAAATAAATATAAGTGTTGCGTTTTCATCAACAGTCATTTAGAACAAGAGAGACATCTTATTGAAATATGATCAAATGTGCTTATAAAACAGAAGAATTAAGGAATAAAGGCCTGTCTCAAATGTTTCTCTCTTCGTTATAAGTGAATAACTTAATAACCACTTTTTTGAGATTTTACAGTATAAATGATACGACATAAATGAGCTAAAACATTTACAATTCCTAAATGAAGAAGAAGAACTTCACAGCCCCTCTCAGCCTCTCACTGACATGGTCCAGCCTGTACAGTGGATCTATTAATCACTGCAGGCATTAAACGTCCCGTCGCTCTCCGTCAGTGTCAGTCTGTGTTCATCAGGCGTATCCACAGATGTTTTTATGTAAACTCGGCTTCCCGACAGTCCAAGGGGATTAACTAACACGAGGTCGGGAACACGCTGTCCCATTTGCCATGTGCGACCAAACTGTAGCTACACTGCAGCTTTAGCACCGACATTGTGAAACTGAATCTGGACCTAAAACCAAATCCGAAAAATGTCTCCTCTTCCAACAAGTGACTCCGCGTGGAGTCCTGAGCCCACGGTTCAGAGATGAGGCAGCAACACCAGCTGGGCCTCACAGCTTATTGGTAATTCTACTGATTTTCAATTGTTGAGAAAATGGGACCAGTCATCCAGAAAAAATTACACTTTTTACATCTACTATCAAAAGGTGTTAGTCATTTCTGAGTATATTAAACCAGATTGTACTGTCTTCTGGTTTTCTCACATCTGCATAATGCCTTGCAAATGTCCCAGTGTAAGTAAACAGGGTCTTTACAGGATCTGTAGGGTCTGTATAAGCAAAATGTTCCTGTGAATCAAACACAGCTTCTCGTCCTGAATTGTTGATGAAGGCAGGAAATTAAGAGAATAAATGTTCCACTTTCCCGGCTGAAGGAGGAGGTGAGACTGACTCAGTTTTGGGGTTATATGTGTTTTAAAACAGCCAATAAAGCACCATTACAAAACTAGACAATCCACTAACTAAACTAGACATAAGAAAACTAAGAAAATGTGGTTGTTCATTGGAATAATTTACCATTTACCATTATATTAAAAAAAACATGAATAAAGTTTTCATGTGTCATTTCACAGCTTGTCAGAGTCACTGTATGTACAGTAACTGTCATTTCTCTTTTCCTCTCTTTGTAGTAAATTCGACACTCTGATCCAGGCTCAGGCCAGGGAGTTGTCTCACCTCCGTCAGCGGCTGAGAGAGGGTCGGGGCGTGTGCAACATCCTCACCCAGCACCTGGGAGACACCACCAAGGCCTTCGAGGAGCTGCTGAGAGCCAACGACATCGACTACTACATGGGCCAGAGCTTCAGGGACCAGCTGGCCCAGAGCAGCGCTCTGGCACAGAGAGTCAGCGCAAAGATCAGTGGACGTGAGTCAGCTGATTTTATTTATTTCATGACACGCTGTTACATACAGCCAGTATATGGAGTCAATAGCCTGATTTATTTCAAGTGTAACTGAATATAAAACTAATGATATTATGACATCAGGAGATCATCCTGAAGATCCAGATGAGAAGACAGAGCTGCTCGCCATCCGGTCAGTGCTCATTCACTTATCTCTGTGTGTGTGTGTGTGTGTGTGTGTGTGTGTGTGTGTGTGCGTGTGCGTGTGGTCTGTGTTGAGTCTTGTATAACAGCAGGCTTGATGCTGGTCAATGGAAAGTATTGGTGTGTGTGATGCTGTTCCTCAGGGCGGAATAATCAGATGCTCACTCGATAATGAGTGAAGACCTCACTGGCTAATAAATGGCACAGCTAATTGGCTAATTAATGAGGGAGGAAAAGTTCGGGGAGGCTGATCAGAAGCGGAAGGACACGGACAGGCCAGATGTCTCTCTGCATGTTCCTCTTTATGGATGTTTTGAGAGGACTGATAGAGGAGTAAATTTTAAACAAGTAAATTTGGTTAGCCAAGCTAGCAGTAGCTAGTCAAGAGCAAATCTAGCATGATTACTGCTAACTTACAACCACTGGCTATTTGAGTTGATGTTGTTTTCACAGACATTGTTATTTAATGATTTTTCATTGTTTAAAGATTAGATAAATTTCATCAAGAAATATTAAATAATTATTAAAAATGACAAAAGCGGCATGATCGTGATAGAGAAATTAGAAAGTAATTTATTCTGTAGCTGTATTCACAGGATATTGAATCTGGTTTTCATGAATGTTCATGAGGTTGGTTTGCTTCCGTATTTTATTAATTAGTTCCTCTTGTGATTGTTTTTACATTTGAAAAGTTAAAGCTAATTATTACATCTGTGTTGTGGTCTTCTCTACCAATCACCTTCATACAGTACAAACAGCCAAGGCTCTAGAAAGGCTACAGAAAAGTACCCAAGTGATACCATCAGTTGCCTCTTTATGTTATGTTTTCAAGTAGTTATTGTGAATGTTGCATTTTTGTCCTGCTCACCACAACATCTGTTTATAGTTTATCATCTTGGTGTCTGTGCCAGCGGTTTGCTTTATACATGTACCGTATAAATACTGTATGGCATTTACCGTTTCAATGCCCAACACCTAACCAATGGCTACAGAAAGGTCAGTCAATGTTGTATCTTTGTGCTCTCTGTCCCACATGCAGCCTTTTTTAGTTTCTTTTATTCATCATTTTTCTTACACCCTGCGTCAAGTCTCGTTTCCCGCTGTTGGTCGCAGCTGGCTCGACGTCTGGCCCCTTCAGCGGTTTGTTAAGTTAAGGGAAGTTGCTCTGACTTATCACTGCATTGCGAAACCCCCAAAAGTCCTTTGACATCACACCACTGCAGGGCAGAGCCACGATTTGGGCCACCCTCCCCACCACCACCACCACCCATTCATCCAAGCCGAAGGGTGTCGTGACCAGCAGGGCACAGCTGATGTTTGAGCGTGGTTCCGTAACTGTGCAGTTGATTGGTCAGCTAATTAGGCAGAGACATGATGAGGGGACACATGAGAGGGGAAAGAAAGGACAGCACAAGTGAGATCAGGGCAGAGTTATACAAGAGGAACAAAGGGGTCTAAAGCTGCTGTATGTCTTTGTGTATCACAGAATGAACAACATCTTATTTTATTGTTACACTAGTGGTGGAGCTAAAGAGGCAACACTAGAGAAAATGTCATGTTGTCAAAAGCTCCACTAATCAATATTTTATTGTATTAATGAATCAAATCACTATGTGTTGCTGTGTGTGGCTGCTGCATATGTGAAGTCAGTGGTTAGCTAGTATGTGGTTAGCCAACTTTGTAAGTAAGGGACAACTTTGTGACAATATAATAATTAGTTTTCACATCAACCTCCAAGTGGCCAAAAAAAAAATCAATTTACAGTTTTAAAATGTAAGAAATATAGTTATGGGCAGATTACATTTCATAGTTATTTATCGTTAAAGGATAATCTGATCAAAATGACAAAAAGTCACATTTTCTCACTTAACCCTCAGAGTTTCAGTTTTATCTGCTGAGGTTCTACCTCCTGAAAAACATTTAAGGTGACTGGAGTTTGATGCTGTATGTAATGCTCAAAACGGTGCAATTTCTTTTGTCCCACTTTCTCTGAATAATCACACAAAGTGTTTGGTACACAGAATGTGTAAAACACAGCCTCTTCAGCCTCATTGATTAGAGAGTTTCATGAAGCTTAGAGGTAAACGTGACACAGGCTATGGCTTAAAGCACAGCTTGAGGCACTCGCCTCCTCTGGATGAGTGATGGACGTCCTGGATGTTTAGTCACATGTAACACGACACTTAATTCTGTTTCATAACACAGCTCTTTGATTTTCATACCTGACAGAGATGGAGAGACTGAAATGGCTGCCTTAAAGGTGGAAATAAGCAGTTTATAAATCTGATGACAGGTGATTAACAGTCACTGTATACAAGCAAACATCTTTTATTAGTAAATGAGCTAAAACACTGGTTGTGGTCCTTTAACACCGACCACTGTCGTCGGGTCGAAAAAGGTGAGTGCTGGGTCAAACCCCATTAAACAAACAATGCAGTGAGATAGAGAAACACAGAGGCAGACAGAGAGAGAGAGAGAGAGAGAGAGGCCTGCAGTAATCTAACATCATGTTGTTGTAGCACAGATGGCCGACCAGATGTGAAGGAGAATTATCGAGTGTGGTTTCTGCGACAGCCATCTGATTTAGCCTGTCCCTCTGATTCTGGAGGGGGGAGGGAGGGTTGTAGCCTGTGCATTAACCTATACATTAACTTAATACACACTGAGACTGTGTGGCATATTGTATATGTAAATACATAGAAGTACAGACAACCAAGTGGTGGTAATGCCTGACAAGGTGTCCTGATAGAAAAGACAAGTTGGTGGCAAATATGAGCTGATCAGGGTTTAATTATTGTAGGCAGTAATAAAGAGAACCTGTACACAACTTATAGAATCAGATAGTCAGACCTCTATGTCTACAGAGTCAGCTGCTTGCCGTTGCCATCTTGGCAGTGTCTGCCCCTAACTCCCGTCTAATCCAAAAAAGGACAAAGAGGTGGAGCATGTGCAGAGCTGAGACATTGGTACGTCTCTGTTTAATAACTATGGCAAGCATACGCTCCTGTTAGCATTGTTAGCACAGCTAGGTGTCTTGCTCGCAGGCTAACCCAAGGCTAATTCATTTGCTGGCTAGTTAGCTGGTTAAGAAGCTAAGCTTACAAGCCAGGTGTGGTGAACACAGACACCGATACCTGCTAATTAGTGCTAACATATATATGATACCAGAATTTCACTCACCTTAAAAAAACAGGAGCACAGACTTCCTCATGTTCTGTTAGTCAATTAACCAGCTCGTGATATTACACCACTAACGTTGCTGAGGTGACACCGAGCAGACAGCTAGCTACCAAGCCAACTGTGACAGCATCTTCCTGTCACTCACCCCCATCAATTATGCAGAACTTTAATCCTTAATAAAAATTAAACAGGTAAATCATGTAAAAATGCACCTGCTGTACATTTTTCATGTCTCTAGCTATAGACACCAAAACAGTTTTTTTGTACCAGGCTGTAAACATGTTTATTTCTGCTGTAAAGCTGGACAGCACTGAATTAAACTAATCATCATCCATCAATTCAACCTTTATTTACACCAGGACAGAAGATACTGAGGAACAAGATCCATCTTTTACAAGTGTGATAAATTTGTACCATAAAAACAACAACAACAACAAAAACTATTAGCTCACTGCACTGTGCTCTGCAGTCAATTATTCAATTACTGTCAGACATTGTGTAATGAGATGAGTTTAACAAACTTAGAATATACTATCACTATCGATCAATCTTTTATTGATCCTCAGTGGGAAATTCGGTTAAGTCACAGTTGTTCTCTCAAGAATGGAAATGTAACAGCAAAGAATAGAAAATTGGAAATAAGATTATAAAGGTAAAAAGATAATGATGATATATACATTAAAAAAAGGGGGGAAAAAAGGGGTAACTGAATGTCACTATGGTAAAATGAAATACACATATCAGTGATAAGTGTATGTCCACATGTCTGTGTGCATTGTGAGTGTGACTGTGCTGATGGCGTAACGCTGCTGAGGCTTTTGCTGGCTGCGTTGGGCTCGGCCATGTTGACATGGCCTCTAATCAGGTTAAGTTATTAAGACCTCGAATGGGGAGGGAAATAGGTCAGGAGCAGCTAACCGCAGAGAGAGAGAGAGAGAGAGAGAGAACGTGAGGGGAGGCAGCAGAGTGATGAAGCCTGAGACTGAGAGAGCGCTCAGTTTGCTTCTCTGTATCAGGAGCAGCACATGGTGCTAAGCATCCAGCAGCGCTCTGATCGCTGTTATGTAACGTTTACTCACCATCAACCTGGATTTTTTTCCTTGTTTGTGGACAGAGGACAGTGTGGTTTTCACTTGACTTTGTCTGCTGTTCCGTCTTCTTACTCAACCAGTTTTTTTGGATTTTCCTCAAGCTGAAGCTGGATGTGAAGTTTTCCTTTTGTGAGCATCATCTTGAAGCTTCTTCTCAGGAAATCTTGGAAGGAAGAAGCACACTCTCTGTTTTGTGAACTCCCTCTTGCACCAGAGAGGAAGCTTGCATGTGTGTGCGGGTGGACAGATGTGTTGTGAAAACACACTGACAAGCAGGAGAAAGAGGAAGTGCTGCTTTGTGGATGTTCATTCATTCATAAGCTTCTGTTTCTCTCTTTCTCTGATGGCTGGTGGAGCGTGAACACATGAGCCCTCGGGATCCGGACATCCGTTTTAATACGTACATCTCTCATTCGCCCTCCTCCCTCCTCATCCTGCTCTTTCGTCACTGCGACTCTCCCTCAGGACCGCTGCTGCTGGTGGGATGAGAGGTTGTGTCCAAAACGGTAGTAAGAGGCTTTCCTTTCAGGTGTCCATTCAAGACTTCATTGCAAAAAAGACTAATTTGGGGATGGGCAAGGAACATTTAGCAGAGCTAGACAAAAAAAAAAGAGAGAGATCCAGAGTGCAGCTTCAGCTTTCCTCAGGCTTTTGAGTCATTTTTTTTTGTTCACCACAGAGCTGCAACCATCACTAATTTTTTAATTCAACTCACGCTTAATCTCATCACATGCTGGTGGGGTAAAATCTCAAAACTGTGCTTTTTATTTGAGCTGTTATTGATCTAAGCTGGCAGCCTTCACCATTTGACTGATCTAAAATATTTGGAGCAAATGCACAAATCCTTTAAATCTGCTGAGAGATTGTAAAAAAAAAAAAAAAAAAAAAAAATCATTACTTGGCTCCAGCTACATGTTTGTCTTTGGAATTTTAACAACCTTCAAATCTGATTTGGGATCCATTTGGATGACCACCTGTAGTCCTAGCCTGTACACTCCCAGGATCTGTGTGTAGGTGTGTGTGTGTGTGTGTGTGTGTGTGTGTGTGTGTGTGAAGGGAGCCTCCAAAATCCATCTCCGTGGGAAGCCTAAACCTAATCGGGATTTACTCTGCTTTTCACCTGATCGTCCTCACACTCAGTCATCTGTTTATCCCTCACTCACGCTCTTGCCTGTCCACTGTACCTGCTGTCTAATACACTCAGGGGTCAGGACATCGGCCAATAAGCTAATGAGCCACGCTCGGATTCTTCTGGAGACACTGCCGCAAAGAAAAACTGTGACTGTGTAAGTTTAAACTGTTTAAACGACCCAGGAGTCTGAACAAGAGGAAAAGGAGGAGGAGGAGGAGGGCAGACTGGAAGGGACGGGAGGCATGGTCGGTCAGTAGCCGGACAGAGCGCCACTGGCCAGGGGAGAGGGGAGTGGGCCTGAAGGTGGGTGATGGCTCCTCTGTGGAAGGCCATGCTGTCGAAGAGCAGCCCACTGTACAGAGACTCTCTGTTCTCCTTCTCTCTGTGGGAGTGGAAGGCTCAGGAGAGAGAGCTGCTACTGCTGAAGAAGCACACAGACAGGGAGAGGAGGGCGCTGCTCACACAGCTCGACAAGTAAGACAAACCTCCACCCCCAAACCCCCTCACAAAGTACCTCTTTACAGTAAATCTGAAAAGGCTCAGGTCTGTGCGTTAACTGTGGATCTGGAGTCCTAGCTTAGCTTAACATAAAAACAGTTTGAGTCTGTCAAGAGTTAGTGAGTAAGTGAAATGTTTTACATGTTCTGAGTTACATGTTAGGACTATTTTTTGTCAAACAACAGTGTATCCATCCACTCATTACCTCTGTGCAGTGTGTCTGGTTTAGCGTAGGGCTGCCAGATATGGTTGGTAAGCACAAGTTTTGGCTTTGGTGTGTGCAGTGTGCAGACGTGATGATACCAAACCTGGCAACCTCACTGACAACGAGCCTTCAAGAAGCTGCACTGCAGTCACTGCACTGCTCATTCCAGCATGAAACACTACAAATACATTTTCCTGTGTTTGTTAAGTTAAATAAACAAGGTTTAGCATAACTACATTTTTTTGATTTTTTTAATTTGGATTGGATTCTTTGGATAGAGCCAGCTATGCCAAGCTAGGCTAACCATGTCCTGACATGAGCTTTTTAGGCTATGCAACACATCACCTGCTCTTACTATGTAGGTCCACAGCTAAGCACACTTTTATTAAAAGACAGAAGTTGTTTTTTAAGTTTTTTACGGGGAGCAATTAAACACGATTGGACAAAATAGAACAAACTCAACGACAGCGATCACAGATCAGAAAAAGATGGGATGCACACAGTGCGTGAATACAGCATTTATGCTAAGATAAAGGAGCCAAGCCATCTAGCTCCAGCATTGTACTTAACACACAGGCATGATACTGATGTCGTCGTATTTTCTTCAAGTTTTGTTCTGCTTGCACTTTACTGGACTTTAAGTTGCACGATACAGGGGGAAGATTATGTTGTCGTTGTGAATGTGATGTGCACATCAACAGATGGAAAATTACTGGAGATTGACGTTAATATTGAAATGATTATGTCAATGTGCGTCTGTGAATATTTGTGTTTATTGCGTGTGTGTGTGTGTGTGTGTGTGTGTGTATATCAGCCCGTCATTGATTTAGATGAACGACCTTCAACTCAGCATCTGTGTACCGACATGTCACTGTTAATTAAATCAGCTGTAGGGGACGCGCTGCATACGCAACCCGGGTCATTATGTGTGTGTGTGTCGTTTTGTCCTGCTGTCCCTCCTCCACCTCCCTCTCTGCACGTCTGTCCTTCAGTCATATCATGTCAGTGTAAGTGTGGTTACACCCTCCTTTTGTTTTTCACCTGTGTGATGTGATGCACTGTAGTCACCAAAAACTGAAAAATCATGTGAACTTCATAGAAAACAGGGTTTTTTTCAGGGATGAATAAACTGGTGAACTTCCATCTTTCCTGCAGCAGCAAAAGTAAATGAAAAAGTTTAAGATCAAAGCAAAGCTCCATGATTCCTTGTTTTTTTTTTTTTAAATCTCCAATTATTTACTTGTTCTAATTTCACAAATACTGAGACGTTGAATTATGGAAATTAAAATAACAGCTAGAAAAATGTTCTGAAACTTTTGACCGGTAGTTTAAGTCACTAAGAGGCTTCCCCAACATGATGCAGTCAGCAAAGCCGATACAGACAAGTCCAGATCAGCAGGCAGGTGACTCTCACACCTGGTACATCGTTATTCATTAATGCTCTTTATCCTTGAAGTCACAAGGCAGCTCAGACTCTCCTTTCTGATGCAAGAGATTCTTCTGTGAGATCATATGAAGTTTCCTGACAGCTCTTTATGTTTTATAGTTCATTTACTTCATTATTTTGTTGTTAAATACAGAAACCCATTATTTTATCTTTTTTTTTGTCTTAATGTAAAGTTATTGATGCATAATCTTTTCTTAACCTTTATTTATTCCGGTGTGTTAAAATACCTCACATTCACTCCTGGAAGCTGCCCAGTTCAACCAGTCTCAGTCTGATCCACAGAGCAGCTGCACTGGGGCATTTGGGGGTTAAGGGTCTTATTTAAGGGCACCACAGTGGTGGTAACAAGCGAGGGGCAATAGCTGCACTTTCACCTTCCCCACACAGATATATCCTGTCGGTCCTGGGATAGAAAACAAAAACCTATAATGAAATGGATTTTGTAAATGAACTAAATTAAAATGGCTTTTTGATCTGGAATAAAGTAAACAGACTAGGACAAGTGTTAATGTGTGTGTGTTTGTGTGTGTGTGTGTGTGTGTGTGTGTGTGTGTGTGTACAGGCTCAGCAAGGAGCTGCAGCAGAAGGACAAAGTCATTGAGTCTCTCCGCTCAAAGCTAAACCAGCATCACCATCATCATCATCATTCTCATCGTTCTGACACGCCCTGCAGCAGCCACGCCCTCTCCGACACCACCGACCAATCAGATCGCATCTCCTATGTGTCTGATGAGCATGGATCCACAAATGAGGACCTGGAGCTCTGCTCTGATGTGGACGCCGCCAGCGAGCTCGGTCAGGAGGACACACAGACTTCCACCAGAGTCGGCACAGGTGAGAGCGTGACACCCAGCTTCAGGTGTTCACCTGTACACGGCTGCATGAAGCAGTATAGTCTATTCCATCCATCGTGTCCCGTGGTGACAGCAGACTCTTTTCATTCCCAGATTGCCACTCTCACAGTAGCACCATGTCACGCCGTCCGTCTGTCCCTCCATCCATCACCTCATCCCACAGTACCCAGTCCTGTCTCAGCTGTCCCAGCATGCAATGCCCCAGCTCGCCACACAAACCTGCAGACATGCAGAGTCAGACAGGTAGGAAGGGGATTGAGACTGAGACCCTAGAATTTTCCTTGATGCTGATTAGTTTTCTGCTTCGTTATTTCATCTCCACCCGATCCCTCTGACCTGCTGCGTCGTGCAGAACTTCCTGTTTCTGCCCATCATTTCATTTCATCTTTTTGTTTTACACTTCCTCTCCTCTTTCCTTCTTTTTCTTCTTCCCTCAGCTCCAGGCTCAGTCTTCACCTCTGCCCCCCTCCACCTTCCCCCCTCCTCCTCCTCCACCCAAAATGCACCCTCGCCTTTCCACCATCCCCATCCTACCGCCCCGCGAACCCGTTACCAAGGCAGCGGGGGAGTGGGCTTCTCCCTGGCTGAGGTGCACCAGGAGCTGCAGATGTTACAGAGGCAGCTGGGAGACAGTGAGAGTGCGTCGCTCTGACTCTATGTGCATGAGTTTGTGTGTGTGGGAGAAACTAACAGTTTGAAGTTCAGTAACACTGTGCAGCAAACCAGATGGAGACTTTTCACATACTACAAAATCAAACCATCATCAGTGAAGGAAACTTTTATTCTGCACTCAGGCACTGAATATAATGAACAGCTGAGTCAGTGGAAAGTGTCTTCCCCAGCTTCTCCACAGCAAACACTCAAACTTCATCACATTCACAGAAATAAAGCAGGAATCTGACAAGACAGAGAATCCTGTGCAGCTTACTGTGAGCTACAGTTTGTAGATTTTTCATTGCATGTAGGTCCCATATAGTATAAAGGTAGATGTCCATGTGTTGTTTGATTATACGTAAAGCTGGTCTAAGTTCTATATTAATACAGTGAAAGTATCAAAGCCTCAGTCCTCAGAGAAATGCACACAGCCTGTATTCAGAAACTGAGCCTTAAAACCAGCCGTCAGGACTTCTGGAACTTTGTGATGTCACAACTATACAGTAACAGCCCTCAGCCATGTCCCATTCCCCCACCTGGACCCACCATCCAACCTTGCAGGATTTGGTTCCCCTGTGTGTTTACCTGAAATCTGCTATATTTTTTATTGGATCACTTAGAAAAACAGTCAGCCTCAGCCTCAGTCAGCCTGATTGGCTCACCGACCTGTTGTCACTGGAGCTCCAGAGAGAAGCCTGAGAGAGGAGATGTAAAACTACATTGAGATGGTTTTTGGCTCTTAAAACCACAAATATATCGTCTTATGGATCAACACTTCAAATAAAACACAGGAGAAGAGGAAAATATGGAGCTTTAAGTACCAGGGTGGAATACCCTAGGCTTACGTATCCGTTCAGGATGGGTCATCCAGTCAGATTCCTTATTGAGAGGTGTCCTAGAAGCTTCAACAGCTTTCAGACATGTTTAATTCTATTTGACTGTAGCCAAAAACAACATGCTCGCATATCTGAAGCACTGTGGAGATTAGTCTGAGATGGTGCTGGTGTTTCTTCACAGTTTTTCAGTGAAAACACGTGACATTGATCCACAGTGTAAAGGAAGGATTTACAAACTTCCATCTAATAAGGAATAATGCAACAACTGAATAATTTCTTATTAAAAATGTTTTAAAAATGTCTACCTCACCATCAGTATGAGGATCACGTGTTGATGCTGCTGCCTGTACATACACAAAGTGTGAAATGGAGTGAGAGCTGACCAGCTTTGATAATGCACTTCTCCCCATCGGCCCTCGCTTCTCTCTTTTCTCTCTTCCTTTCTCTCCCTCCTCCTCTCTTTGCCTTTATCTTTGTCACGCTGTACTTTCTCTCTCATTAAATGACTCCACTCGATGCCTAATGAACCCAGAGCTTCCAGCTGGATAAGGATTTGCTGTGATCTTAAAACACTGATGAGGGATGGAGCTTTGAGAAACGCAGATAACCAGACAGATTTTGTTTGACTGATTGACAAACTTGTTCCCTGTGTCAAAGGAAATCCCTTCATCCTTCTTTCAGTCTGTCACTCTCCCCTTCCTTCGTTTCTCACTAACACTTTTTTTTTATAACAGAGGGAACATCCACAGTATTTATCCGTCTCAGTTCAGTTTATTCATCAGTGTTTCTTTTTAATTACTGTATTATCTCATCCTCCGCAGGGTTCTCCACTCCCCAGTCCAAACCTCTTCAGGGATTCCCGTTCGCCCACCAGCAGTCGGACTCTTCTCCCTTCCTGCCTCTCTCCTTCCACGGATACCAGCCTTCTCCTTTCGGCAGCGCCGCGAGCAACAGCAGTCTGGATGCTAGCTTAGCCATGAAAGCCGGGGCCAGCCTGCTGGAGAGCAGTGCATTGTGGGATGCGGCCTACGTTACCCGACCCGTGAGACTTGGAGCTGAGCTGTCGTCAGGATCGTCAGGGTACCAGTCAGGTGCCAGCCACACAGGTAGAGACAAAGTTAAAGCATCAGTATGGGTGAACGTTCTCTAAACCCCATGCTTCACATGAAAAGCCACTAGTAGGAAAGGTTTGAACCACAGGAAGACCATAATGCTTATCTGAGCTGCAGTAAACAGTAGTTCCTGTGCTATTTCAAATGTGTTTAGGTATTTCTGGTGAGATTCTACGGTGTTGAACAGAACGGTAATCTCTAACAGCAGATTTTCAACTGTGTTTCTGTCTGTAGGTTCAGACCTGATGAAGGAGCATCTGAGAGAGGTACGGAGTCTGAGGCAGAGACTGGAGGACTCCATCCAGACCAACGACCGTCTCCGACAGCAGCTGGAGGACAGACTGGCCCGCACCGCCACTGAGAAAGGTAACAACACACTGCAGTCACAGAACGTGGAATATATGGATCCTGACATGGTTTTCAGATGTTATCTATATTAATTAACAGTTGAAAAACAAGTAAAAAAAATTCCTCAATAATTTTCCTTGAAGGGAGCTGTCAGTTTGTTAGTATATTTCCAGGAAAAAGCTCTCACTTTTCACCTCCTTCATTTTTATCCCTCCTTTTTCTCCTCCCTGTCTGCCTCCTCTCCAGGTGCTCCTACCAACATCTACATCCAGGGTCTGGACTCAGTCGGTCAGCTCTCCAGTGAGATCAGACTCCTGAAGGAGGAGAACATCAGTCTGCAAAACCAGCTGAAGCAGGCCACCAGAGGTACAACCACTAACTGTTCACTAACTGGAGAAAACACAACAATAAACTTAAATAAATATTGTAATTATATGGATTCAGAGCTTTTGGCTCAGTTGTTGGTCAGGTCAAGGTCAAATTACCTGCTTACCTGTCCCCTGCAGAGGGAAGCAAGGAGGTGGATCAGCTGAAGGAGGCGGCGCTCCTGGAGCGGGCCAGGTTGAAGGAGGCGGAGCTAGAGGTGGAGAGGTGGGCGGGGCAGAGCAGGAAGTTGCAAGCTGAGGCTGAAGCTCACAACCAGGAGATCGCGCAGCTGAAACAGGACCGACAGAGGAACCAGGAAACCATCAACAGGTGTGTGTGCTGCCATCTTTCTGAGGACCAGTTTAAGACCTTTGAGGACATTTTTGGAACCTGAGGACAGTTTCAGAAAGTCTGGTCGTCTTCAAAAGGCTGTATGAGGGTTAAGACTTGATTGTGGGGTCTATCGGTACATGAGGACATCACTTTTGGATGTGGTTACTGCTGACCACATCCAACCATCAGTGATGCCGACTGTGGTCAGAGGTGGAACAGACTCTTCAGGGTGGGGTTAAATCATTCTTTAAGGTTAAGGTTGTGGGTGCAAGTTAATTAGGGTCCTCACAAGTATAGAAGTGCAATTGAGCTGATTGTTTTGGTCGTGTGATGCTTCTTATAAATAGATACATGTATACAGCAATGGTGTACTGTGTGTTGACAGACTCCAGCATGAGGTGAGCGTCCTCCAGCAGCAGCTGTGTGAGAGCCGCAGTCTGGTCCACTCTCTTCAGTGTGAGCTGCAGGTGTACCACAGGGTGGGCGTAGTCACCACCAAGACACACTCAGGTAAGAGGCGCTTCCAGAGACACCTTGAGCCTCTAAAACTGTTTTTTTATGGTTGTATCCAGGGACATGACACTAAACCATGAGAGCACTTGAATGCCTCCTCCGCCAGTGTAATATACAGTGTAATATAAGAAAATCTGAATTCATGGTATGTAGTTTCCTGGGAATGCCCTGTAATTACTTCTTTAAAATGGTGGGAGACGTTCACTCACCAGACACACTGATTACTTTTTGTGTAACTCATCTTTGATTGTGTGTTTGTCAGCAGGTCAGGCCAGTGACAGTGTCCAGCCAGAACACAGCACTGCCACCTTTGACCCCAGAGAGCTGCACATTCAGCTGGAGCAGCAGCTGAGCGGACAGCCCCGAACCAGGAGGCAGCTCTTCAACGGTGAGTCTGACACTCAAAGTGGATCTGAAAATAAGATGGAACAAAGCCGATCACAACATGAGAACTAAAGGTCCTATATTTTCCTCCAGTGTTTTATTTGAAGTGTTGATCCATAAGAAGATATATTTGTGGTTTTAAGAACCAAAAACTATCTCATTGTAGTTTTACATCTCTTCTCTCAGGCTTCACTCTGGAGCTCTAGTAACAACAGGTCGGTGAGCCAATCAGAAGAAAGGAGGATCCTCTCTTCTGATTGGCTGACTGTTCTGAGTGGTCTAATGAAATAGAGCAGATTTCAGGTAAACACTCAGAGAAACCAAATCCTGCAAGGTTGGATGGTGGGTCCAGGTGGGCATGGCTTGAGGGCGGTACCTGCTTTGTTGTGACATCACAAAGTTCCAGAAGTCCTGACAGCTGGTTTTAAGGCTCAGTTTCTGAATACAGGCTGTGTGCATTTCTCTGAGGACTGAAGCTTTGATACTTTCACAGTATTAATATAGAACCTAGACCTGATCTATAATCAAAGAGGACATGGACATCTGCCTTTATACTATATGAGACCTTGAAGAAAAAAATACTAAAAGATTTGTGGAACTGAAAAGGATGTTTTATGAAGAAGTACTGATGGAAATCTTTCTCCATAGACAACGTTCCCTCTCCACCCGTGAGAGACACTGGACTCGTCAGTCCTTCCTCTCCTCTACGCTCTGTGCAGAAACATGCAGAGGAGACTGGAGCTACTGATCATGGTGAGAAATCTGCATGTGACAGTCTTTTTTCATGTTTGTTAACTAATCCCTCTGGTTTACCTCCCACCTGTTCTTATTCCTAATTCTCTTCTTATCCTTCCCAGCTGCCTCGGCACTACAGGGCCAAGTTCCAGACGGCTCCTTCGCCAGCCGTCACGGCCGCCACGCCGTTGGCCACATTGATGACTTCAAGGCTCTGCAGCAGCAGATCCTGGAGGGTAGCGCTCTGCTCTCCAAGATGGAGGTAGCCCTCCGTTCCCTGATTGTCTCGGCCCTGCAGGAGTTCAGTCTTCACCAGGTGAGAAGTCCAGGAATCCAGGTCCGGTGACTCCGAAGGCTCATATTGTCATTTTGTGAACATGTTGTGTTTTGTGTCGCAGCCCTCAGACTCGGCTTCGGCGAGGAAGCTGCTGTCTGACACTAAAACCCTGCGACAGATCCTGGAGGAGGCTGACTCTCTGCTGCGGATGTTCTGGAGGGCGGCTCTGCCAAACTCTGAGGAAACCAAACAGGTCAGGACCAGCGCCACAAGTCTAAATGTCCGACTTCTTGATGTTACTGAGAGCAGTTTACACTGTTATATACTGTATACTATCACTGGATAATATTTCATGGCTGCAAGATGCAGCTGAATGATGAGACAAGACTTAAGTCTAAAGGAGTTGTTCCCAATCTTTTCCAACTGAAAATCTGCTTTTCAGTGATAACGATCGAACGTACAGGACTGACCTGAAAGCTCAGTTTTTCTCTTTTCTTTGACACAGGGGGAGAGATCACTCGTGGATTCATAATATGGCTCTTGACTTTTTTCCTTTTAACTCTTCCTGTTGTAATCATTTTGATATTGATAGAGACGGATGTGATCTTTTAGCGCGCACAAACAACATGTGTGTAAAAGTTCCTATCATTGGCTCATGACAGTAATAGGCCTTAATACCAGAAAAAAAGCCGAAACTTTTTTATGTTTTTAAAGATCATTTCATTTTAAAACATTTAGAAACAGTATTTATATATATTGGAAAGAAAAAAAAGGGTTTCTTCCAAAGTGTAGAACTGTTCCTTTAAATTTTGGAAAAACCTGCTAATAGAGTGAGATAATTCCACTTCTTTATACTGTAGGGATTCATGTTAGACTAACTGACATTTTTACTGTAGTTTTTGCAGCTGCTCTGATGCAGTACTTGACTATATGTGTGTGTATGTGTGTGTGCTTGCAGGACCATTCTCTGAGGGAGGAGGTGGTGTCTCTCCGTCTGAGGCTCTCAGAACAAGAACAGGCTCTAAAGGACGCCATGGAGAGAGTGAAGAGCTCCAACCGCACCAAAGATAGCATGGAGCACTTTATAGTCAGCCAACGTGAGTCACCCATGTCCCTAAGTATTTCCAGAAGCTTGTATAAAACCATCTTTCATTATTTGCATTGCTTTCTTTCTTTTTTAATCTATGACTCACTGGAGATACTTTGATCCAAGAGTCAGACAATCGGAGTTATGAGGAAGATTTATTATCCTGCGATGTGATGATGATCATCTTTCATCATCGTCATCTGCAGCAGCTCTGTTTCACTCTCTTGCGTGATCTTCCTCTGTCTACTTGTTTCAATTCTCTCCTCGTCCTTCCTCCCGCTCGTTTCATGTTTTACAACCCAGAGCAGAGATCCTCGAGTGTCTCTGTAGTTAGTATGAGACGGTCCTGTGTCCTGCACATCTGAAAGGTTCTGTTTAACTGAAGGACGTATAACTGATGACTCACAGCTGCTGTGTGTGTGTGTGTGTGTGTGTGTGTGTGTGTGTGTGTGTGTGTTAACAGTGTCGAGGACACGGGATGTCTTGAGGAAGGCCAAGACGAACTTACAGGTGAGCTTAGCCTGATGAAGCTTTTATTTCAGCAGGTGACAATAACTAAGGTGTTGGATGAGATGATGATGGTGATGATGATGATGCTACACACTCATTTCTCTTAACAAGCAGAGCCAAACAAACTAAAGTGGATCATTAAAAGTGAACCTCCCTGTTTCCGTCTTGTCTCTGTAACTCCCTCTCTCCTCCTGCTGAGTCTCCTCAGGAGAACGAGCTCAGGATTTCCTCCCTTCGCGAAGCCTCTTTCTCCATTCCTTCTCCATCCCCCTCCTCTTCCTTTTTTCCCTCCTCCTCCTACTCTTCCTCTTCCTCACACCCCTGGCCTGTCAAAGGTACGGTCCCCTGGCTTTGCAGTGCTCTGAAACCATGATGAAACCGTTTGTTTTTTGATTTGATCCTGATATTAAAAAAGATTTCTGCATGTAGCCAATCAAATAAGATTTATTCTCTATTCATAAATCAGTGACTTTATTTTCATAAACCCATTTTAGCTTTTAGCTAATGTTGCCATATCTACAAACTGGGACACATGCGTTGTGTTGCATCTTGTGCCATCAAAAGAACATCAGCCAGAGAAAAGGTGCACAGCTAATGTCAGCTTTCAGGATAGATAATTAATCAACTGTAACATAACGAGCAGCTTAAAAAGAAACATCTACATCTGCCAGGTTAGCTGCTGAAAGCTGTGGTCCTTACTTACTTAATGCCTCTGTTTCTGTTGGCTCAGCTGTCGAACACACTCCGAGGCTTTGAGGCTAAAGTAGCATCTCTAATACATCAGCAGATACCCTTTTCTTGCTTTCAATAATGAAAAATATTTAAAAACTAAGTGTTAAAGTCACCTTTTTTGGCTCTATGGAGGAGTGATTTCATTCACAAAGTCTCTGTTGTGTTGTACTAACACTTGCATCCGGTCATGATGTACACAGCCTGGCTGCAGAGGTGGATGTGTAGTGCATGCAAGAGGAGGAGCACGAGACTGTGATTAAAACTGCTCAAGGTCCATTTACACTGGAGATCATTTTTTTAGCATGGTGTGGATTGATAGACATTTCAGTGTGAAGTTTCATATATTACTCACAGGGAATGTGAGCAGCTAACTTGACTCCTTCATCACTTTCTTCATCATCTTACTCACCGAGTCTGAAAATGTCTTCTCAGATTACATTCCCTTTGAATCAGTCAATGTTATTTCCCTCAGTTGAGTAACGTGTACACTGAGCCAAGAGTCACATCATTTAATTTGATTAAATTGTGCATCAAATAATTTAATTAGACCCTCCCTCTTCCTCAACTTTTTCCATCCTTCTCTGCAGGTTCTCTTCTCCTTTTTAATCTGTAGAGAAAAGACACTGCACAACCTTAAAGTTGAGATTGTATAAACTGAATTTTTTGTGACAAAACTATCTGTAAAACATGTTTTGTTAGGGATTATTTAAGAAAACAAACTGCTGAAGAGAGAGTGTCGGTGACAAGGAATTATTTCAGTTTTTAAGGGAAGAAACGACTAATTTGAAGGAACATTTTATCCATTATTTTCTACCAGGACATGTACGAAGTTCTGCAGAAATAACCTAAAGCTAAACTCTGAATATCTTCTCTTCCAGGTGAAAACAGAGGAGGCTTCTGTGAGCTCGCCTTCTCTCCTCGTTGGAGTGTCATGATGCCCCAAACTTCCTCCTCCTCCGCCTCCCCCTCCTCCTCTGCTGTCCAGGCACCTGCTCACCACCAGCGCCCCCTGCAGGCAGCCTTCCTGTAGTGCACCAGCTCAGAGTTCCTCATCATCATCACCATCATCACCATCATCATCATCATCATCATCATGTCCTATTCAAACAGAACATGCAGGAAATGCTGGCTCTCTTATCGGCTGGGGAAACATTTCAGTTGAGTGACGAGTGTCTGAGTCGTTGATGGGTGTTTGTGTCGTTAGATTTCTGCTGGTTGATGATGGTTTATCAATGTGAATGATTAGAATTGGTTTATTATTGGTGTAATGTGTGTAGGTGTTTTGTTGAGGCCGTCAACTGAAGTGTTTTTCTCATTTATATGAGACCAGTCTGAGTTCAGCTGAAGTTGACTTCTGATTTTTCCCATTTTCACACAAAAAAGAAAATTCTACAATTATGAAGACCAGGTTTGAAACAGTGTTTGCGCTCTTATGGGCAATTTAGTCCAGGTTTTTTGATGTAGACCTGGTCTCGTGTGGTCTAGGCAATAAAATACTTTTAAACAACTGGGTTTAAAACCCTCTTTTTATATGACATCTACTTCCTATTTGACATTGACAGTTTAAAAACAACATAAAAAGAGAATTTCTCCCTTAAGTTTCCCATACACTTGCAAACCAGAGGCTACCAATCAGAATCCAGCTTCAGCCTTGTTCTTCAGCAGGGATCCAAGAAACAAAAACCCACCTGATGCCAGCAGGAAAAAAAAAGGAGGCTTTAAAAAAGCCAAAACCAAACAGCAAAGTGCTTCCTCTCAGCTTCTGTTGAAGCTTGTATTTGTAGGTAGTGTGTAGAATAGTTGCATGTGGTGTGAGCAGCTTGTGGAAACAAAGCCATACTCTCTGACGGTACAGTTACAGTAGATATGTTTTTGTTTTGTCCTAATTGTACTAATAATGTCATAAAAATGGCCGACTACTGATATGAGGAAAAACAGCATAGAGCTACCAATAGACAGTTTGGTCATATAGCTGGTAGATGATGTTCTGTCGCGTTTACTGTCAAATAAAACACCAATTTAGGATTTTTAATGGTCCTCAGACTCCAGAGTATTACTGTTAAATATGGAGTCGCTTCTCTGAAGATTTTTTTTTTCTTTTTTTTTTTTTTAAAAAGGGTCCAACCCAGTTTTTCCTGCTGAAACACTAACCTCCAGTGTTGGAAAGCCTTCTGATGAAGCTGCTGTGACAAGCAGCATCTTAGTAAATCAGTGTGAATAAAAAACAAGCACATGTTACAGACTGGAGTCGCCAAGCTGCTGCCTTCAGTGACCTGTCAGACAATCTGTAACACATGGAGAGAAATTAATTTTTAGGGCATGGTCCAAGAGATTACATTTCATTTTTTGTAACTACGAAAATGGACCACACTTTTTATTTTATTTTATCCTTTAGGTGTTATTGTTCTTTCTTTTTTCTAAATTTGTGAATCTTTTTATTGTTGAATTTCCCTCAAGATGACAATCAAAAAAAAAAAAAAATCATCAAGAGTAAAAAACACTCGCTCACTGTGCAAATGAATTTTGGGTTTTTCACACTGGCTTCTAAAAGTTTTATTCATTTTCTTAGTTTTACTTCATTTCCCTGTATATTAAATGACCTGTTTCCTTTTGTGCATGAACTGTGGCTTCACTGCCCTCGAATACTTTTACTGAAATATGCAATTTTTTGGGTTCCTGTGCAATACTGGCCTTTGTGGTTGCTTTTTTTTTATGTATGAGGCCTGGGTATTAAAGTGCCATGTCATCTGTTTTAGCTCTGAAGCTGAACTGATTTAAACAAATGGACTTTTGGATGTTCAGTCTCTTGACAATCAGTTTGAAGCAGTTTAGTGGCCCTCACATTTTTTTTGGCTTAATATGAATCAGAGTTTTATATAAAACAAGGGAAAAAAAGGCAAAAAGCACTGTAATGATTTATTTATCAGCAATAAGATCAACTAAAGTGAACAACGTGTGTTATCAAATCAGGTGTAAAATTCTAAAGGTTAAATATTCTTTTGTGTAAATCCCCACAGGTCAAAGGTCAGACTTTGTGTCTTTCTTAGTGTCTTTGTGGCTTTAGGAACCACAACTCATGTATGTAAATATTAAAGGGAGTGTGTACATCAATGCAAGTTTTCTGTTGCTGTGAGAGAAGAGATGTATTTTTATGCATGTTCTCTTTATTAAAAATGATTTCAGTTTAAAAGAAAAAAAGAACCTTTTCAATAAAAGGGGATTAAAGAACTTTGTTTTGTTGTTTGTTTTTTTTCTGATCAACTGTATTAAACTTAAAATTCACTAGCATCAGCACCACTGTTTACATTACAGCCTGCAGAGAATGCTGAATTATTTTATTAGGTGGGACTATTCTTCTTCACTTCAAAAACACTTTATTACTCCAATGTTTTTTGAATCGTATCTCCTTGATGCTTCAGCATAGAAACTCCATTCAAACATTAAAATGTTCAACTCAATAAGGACTATGATTATCAGGTGTATTCAGTTTTTGATATATTTCATACTTTCCAAAATATTCAACATTCTGACATTTTTTTCCATTAAGATGAATGCTAGGAATCTCCAGTTTTCCACAACTTTTCATGCATTTTCCACCCTTTCTACACTTTCATATTTTCAGATAGAAACTCCATTCAAAAGTCAAAATGTTCAGAACCTTCTTTACATTAGTGTGTATGTGGCAGAAAGTTCGCAGCTAGAGTGGATGACATCACAGACATCATTGCTGGCTGACATTATGTTTACTTGCTGTGACACTCATAACCACAAATAACACACACAAACACACATATACACATATACACATACACACCCACGGACTACATAACCAGACACACAATCATGTTCTTGAGGAGCATTACATTGGCTTAAAGTCATTTGTGTTACACACAACCAAACATATGCGCACACACACACACACACACACACACACACAGTATAAGGTCCAAAACAAATATGCAGCACACACAACACAACACAACAACACACACACACAACTACACACTTTCACACTCACAAACACTAAAACACACAGGCACAACACACACACACACACAGCCAGATCTCAATGCATTATTTCTTCAGAAATGGATAACTCTATAGTTCTAAAAGAACTAACAACTCATGTGTCAGGGGTGACTAGACAAAGGCGAAGATCGACCTTACTACGCGTTCTATAGTGGGATATAGGCTATAGGACGGTGGTTATGTACAGAGAGCGCTGGAGTCAAAGGACGCTGTTAAATCAACCATTTTTATCATGTTTTTATCATGTTTTTCATGTTTGAGTGGTTGCCAAGTATACCGTCTGTGACGTGTGGGCCATTAAATTTACCCTACAAGCCATTTGCTAAAGTTCATTCACTGTCATAAAATCTTAGTTAGTTGAGTCATTGCCGTGCGAGACAGTCCATGGTGGGGTTTAAATGAGAAATCTGCATGCAACACCAGAAACCACAGGAAATACTCCAATAATGAGACAATAAGATTCCAGGCTTTTGATTACAATTTTAAAGTGATGTTTAGACTGTGCTGTTTTGAACTAATTGTTCCTTGAACTTTCATAAAAGAATAAATAATTAAAAACATAGAAATCGCCTGAGGATTCATTTTCACTTGACTCAGAAGTGAAGACACACGGGTGTAATTTACTTAATACGCAGCTGTGAAGAATGTATTGTTCGTTGAAATCTGAAGACCAGTAAAAGTAAATTCATATTCTGTCTTCTCTCATTTGATTTCCATTATAAACTATGAAATCCACCATATCTTTCTCTTGGTGTCTGTAATAGAACTACTAAAACCTGTAGCTATGAGATCTGAGCAGACATGAATTTTGAACCACTAATAATATAATGTACCTGTCAGCGCTGAATTTACTAGTAAAATGCATAGAGTGTGAACAATGCTCTGCCACTTTTTTCCTCCAAGTGAGGAAGAATTCGAATATTCTCAGTTCGAATAATCCGATTGAAGTTCAAATACTTTGTAAATGTTTGCCAGCCTGCTCCTTCATGTTGAG